CCAGAGCTGCCAAAATGTCATCTTATGCAGATTTTGCTTCTTTTTAAGCTTCATATGGGCATCTTTTACTCATTGCCTGGGCAACATCCTTCTCCGAGAAAAAACTGAGGCTAGAAGAGACTGAGGTTAAACTCCTACGAGTTCTGCTTTTGAAACTGCTGCTAAGTTTTGGGAGGCGCTCGCCAAATTAACAACCTCGATGCTCATTTGCCCATTATGGCAGTGCAAAAGGTGTGAATTATCACCACTAAAGTCCATTTTTAAGGGCATTGCTCCAAGGCCTCATGGTTAACCATAAGTCACCAAAAAGAATCTAACCAGAGGCCCCATCTGTACTGTACCTTTAAAGCAGTATCATGCCACTTTCAAAAGTAATCACTCCCCCCAAAGCATGCTGGGTACTGCAGTTTGTGAAAGGAGAGAGAGAGAGCCAGTGTTGCATAATGGTTAGAGTGTTGGACCTGGGAGCACACGGTTCGAATCCCGACTCAGCCATGAAGCCCACTGGGTGACCTTGGCCCAGTCACCACTTCTTAGTCTAACCTACCTCACAGGGTTGTTGTGAAGATGAAATGGGGAGGAGGAGAACCATGTACACCACCTTGAGATCCTTGGAAGATAAAGGTGGTCTATAAGTGCAATGAATGAATGAATGAATGAATGAATGAATGAATAAATAAATAAATAAATAAATAAATAAATAGTGCTCAGAGTTGTTAGGAGACCCTTGTTCCCGTTACAGAGCTACAATTTCCTGAGTTCCATGGGAAGAGAGGTTGATTGTTGAACCACTGCTGGAAACCCCTTTACAAAAAAAAGGCACTTCCCCGCCAAGGTTTCTTGGCTGAGAGGCAGCAAGGACAGTTCAACAACCAGGCTTTGCGTGGCTAGTTTGCATTTGTAGTTCACATGGCTCAAAGAGAAATGCAAAGAGGGTGCTGCACTTTCGTTCCTGTTAAGAGACAGCCTTCCCTACATTTCAGAGACAGATTCGGTGCCAGTGGTGAGGAAGAAGAATAAACTAGCATGAACAGAATGAAGAAAGTAACAGTGAATAATCAGACTAAGACATGCCATTTCCATAGCCAGAAAGAAAGAGGAGCTCAAACAAGTGGAAGGCATCTCGTTTGGCTTCCTAGAGAGACTGGACTTGAAATTCCACTTAAATCTACAATTTTGCAGAGATCCAAGATGGTTCACACCTTGTCTCTTAAGAGCAGGTCGAATCTTGAGAGGACAGACAGGAGAGAAGACTTTCAGGGAGGAATCTAGAGGTACAACAGAACAAGAGGAATGTTTAAAACAAGTGAACCTGCGGGTCGTCGTTCAACAGGAACCGAGGTTTGGGCAGCAGAGGAGGTTTAGCGCTGGTTGAAGAAGTCTTGGGTGTGCTGTTGCTTGCTTCATACTGTTTTAAATCATGGCAGTCAGGCTGCACAACCACTGAACCAGCATGGCTGCATTTGGGCACATGCGTGCTCACCTTCCATTCTCCATTTTTGCCATTTTCTGAGCCCAGAGGCCCAATGTGATTTTGAGCAAATATAAGCTCAGTAGATGCCTGGCAGCTAATTTCACTGATAGTCATTTCGAGTTCTCTGATGGTCTCTTCCAGGTTGTCCAGCCTTTGGTAAGTGTCTCTGCAAATCTCTCGGCTTCTTACGGTCATGTCATCAAGAGAAGTGCTTTCCTTTTGCTTGTCTTCTAAACCTGCGTCTCTCTCGTCCTTGCCTGTGCTGGCACCAACAGGAGCCAGGGATGCTGCGTCAAACCCAATGACTTCTTTATTCCCAGGGGATTCTGGATGCTGCAAGGGAAAATACATTTCTGAAGCTTCTGTCAGATGACCTCTCTGCATTGGTACAATAGCAGCATCAGGGCCTTTCAAAGCTATTGGAACATCTTCTGTGTTCTGATTGGCTTCTTCATTTTTTGATTCTGCAGTGTTGCTTCTCTTATCCAACCCTATGAACACGTCACCTCCTTCTGTTGGTGAAGAAAATGTCTTATAGTCAAGTGTGACAACAGGTGCTTCATTTTCTTTTGAATGAGCCCCAATCCCTTGGACAGTTGTCTGTAGACTACTTGCTTGCTTGCCCCAAACTTTCACAAATATAGCATCTTTTCCTCCAAGTTGAACAATTTCATCTTCCGGTGAAGTTTTTGTTTTTTCAAATGCTACCAAACCTCCTTCTCCCCCATGATCAGTGTCACAAATAAGACCAGTTCCAGGCAGATATCTACGAGATTTCACTTTAGCTGGCAGAGAATGAGTGCATGTTGAGGCCTTATTGGACAGGCCTCCTTTCAGCTTCTTTTCATCCTTTTTCAGCTTTCCAACAAGACCTCTGGGCTCTCCCTCGTTTCCACCATAGTCCGTCCAATGACTCCTGTCTGTCCTCTGATACATTGGTGATCACGGGTCCGAGGGTTGCATATCCCCTTATCAGCTTCTGGCTGAGATTCAGGAAATGTCAAGCTGGACACCCACTCAGAAATGGCAATATGAGGGAGGTGGGAATTGTAACCAGATGGAGGTTTTGAGAGTCCTGACTCCTAAGAGGAAATTCAGACAAGAATTATTGAGGCGGGAGAGTTTGCTGGATGAAAAAAAGCTAACAACCATCTTCTCGGCTCAATATTCGAATGAGTTCTTAATAGTGGGCCTGGATCAACCTGTTTGGCCATCTGGGCTACTCTCTTGTTTTGCAGTGCAATTCCCATCACCCCTGAACACTAGACATGCTGGCAAAGGCTGATGGGAGTTGCAGTCCAAGACATCTGGAGGGCAGCACATTGGAGAAAACTGGTCCACCACAAGAACTAGTCTGAACATCACAGACGTTTCAGGCACCAATGTGGAAGTATTTCCTCCACAAGATCTGTTGAAGTTGGACCCAAATGAAGGATATTTGGCAAAACACCATTCCAAAATTTGATATCTATGGATAGTTATCCACAGCTTGCCTTAGTGATAAGGCCAATCTTGATGTCTACCAAACAAGAAAACCCTGTCAGTCATCTCAAGGTATAGTTTATAGGCAAAGCCAAATGGCTAATTTACAATGCAACATCATTCCAGGTTAACTGTGATTGCTTCTCCCAAATATGCCTGGAAACTGTAGTTTATAGATAGAGATAGATAGATAGATAGATAGATAGATAGATAGATAGATAGATGATAGATAGATAGATAGATAGATAGATGATAGATAGATAGATAGATAGATAGATAGATAGATAGATAGATAGATAGATGATAGATAGATAGATGATAGATAGAAATATCTGTTGCGGATCTCTATTTTCTCTTGCAAAAATATGATTCCTAGGAAGCTGGTAGTGCAATGTAGTATAAGGTTACCAGATGTCCCTGTTTCCCGGGGACAGTCCCTGGATTTGCAAATCAGTCCCCTGACAAAATCCATCTCTTTCATAGGAAGTTGAAAAATGTCCCCAGATTCATTGAAAAAAATCTGGTAAACTTAAGTAGTAGGTGTGTCTACAGAAATGAAATAAAGTAAGAAGCGATGAAGAAGCCAAGTATCCTAACCCCTTGCACATAAAGCAAATCCAACTCCCCACAAGCACTTTTGCCCACAGAATCCAACCCACAGCTTACCACAAGCAGAGAACAGGCACACATCCCAGGAAAGTTATCTGTAGAGCAGAGGGCTCAAGCACAACAGTCACGCTACAAACAGTGAGGGGAAAGATAAATAAAAATCCCCTAGGACAACGGCCAATGTGAACTGCAGGTACATGTCCTCCCCCATGGGATCCCAGAGCATGAGCCACACCCATCTGTCAGTCCATGTCAATGTAATTTTATCGGCTGCCACTTCAGCTCACCTAACATTTGGTCTCTACTTATTGCAGCTCCTGAAGGTGCCTGAGGTGGTGGGGAGGGAACCACAAGATCCTGTGCTAGAGGAGGGTGTGGCATAAGAAGAGCCAATGGCCCATCTAGCCCAGCATCCTGTTCACACAGGGGCCAACCAGATGCCTGTGGGAAACCCAAAAGCAGGATTCGTGCGCAACAGCACTCTCCCCTCCCTCCTGTGGTTTCCAGTGACAGGCGTTCAGAGGCATCGCTGCCTCCAATTTCCAACACCCCCCCCCCCCGGAGCACCACTGAGACAGTTTGAGAGAAATCAGCAAATTCTCAACGGTATCCCACTCTCTACACCAGCGGTTCTCAACCTGTGGATCCCCAGATGTTGTTGGACTACAACTCCCATCATCCCTGAGCTCTGGCCTCACTAGCTAGGGGTGATGGGAGTTGTAGTTCAACAACATCTGGGGACCACAGGTTGAGAAAGGCTGCTCTACACTGAACCAAATCTCCAGAACTCTTCCAGATATTGCATACTAACAGTAATAAAAAACTTTTCCGATTTCGTAAGATGTGACTCAAGCCACAGATAACACCAGAACAGAATCACTTTAGTTGGGGGAGATAAGAATGTGGCATTCTCCGCCCCCTCATCCCCCCCAGACCCATGCACTTGGAAACGAGCAGTGAGAACAAGCACCCAGGCTCCGCCCAAAAGGCGTGGCATGCATTGCAATCAGGAAATCCCTTTGTCTAGAAGTGCAGGCGGAATAATAGCGCAAGCAGAACAAGTGAGTTACCCCCAACTAAACAGTGATCGGCACTCCCGGTTCCGCCCCAGTCCAAACTTGCCCAGCATTCTTTGGGGGGGGGAGGCCCAGCAAATCATACACCTGTCCCTTCGAAAGAGTCACACAGGGTTAGTGCCGGTTGGATCCCGTGTTGTGTCAGGACAACGCACACTACTTGTGTCAGGTGGGTGACGTGGGGAAGAGCCGTTAGTTGGTTAATGTACGGAGAGGTAGAGAGAGAAAGAGAAAGAAGAGTTAACAAGGGGCTGCAGAAAAGGAAGAGGAATCCTGTTAGAGGTGCTATGGCAGGTAGCCAGTCAGAGGGAAGGAAGAGAAGAAGAGAGTTGTGATCCGTCCAAGCACGGCTGTGTTACCTTCCATCCTTCGGCTGCTATGGTGGCCCCATTGGGCCACATGTCTGCGGCAGGGGCGAGCTGGTCACAATGGAACTTAGGAATAAATGAAGAGCTTCTCTGAAATACCTGAGGAAGTCAGAACACGGAAGGTGGTTGTTTTGGGTTTGGTTTTTTTGAGGGGCTGTATACAGACAGAAAACAAAATAGTCTGGGTTGCTAATTCCGGCTCAAGGAGGATAACCACGAGCTTATGGGGTGGCGTGGAACTGACAACCAGGAAACTGACCACAGGGCTTGGCCCTACCCTCGGTTTCAGAAAGGATCTGCAGGCAGATAGTTTGTTAAAAACTGAAATCACAAGATGTACCGTTATGAGAACACCCACTTTCAGCTGTGTAACACACAGTATACTGTGCTACAGAATGACAATGACACACAGAAATAGGAATACAGTACACCCCTTTTATGCCCTCAATGTTGCTGGACAGGAAACCTTGAAATTCAATAGTAGGAGAAAACTACACTGGTTTGTTTGTTTTTAAAATACCAACCATAAACCTTTCTTGATTTTAAACCCACATTCACCCAATTGGCCCAATTGTACTGACTAGTGATAAAAAAGACATTGCAGTGATGTTTCGGGGGGTGTGGAGACAAAGGAAGAAAGTTGATCTCGGGGTCCTTCTTGGCACCCACAAATCTACTGCCATTTTTGCTTCCAGATCTGCAGTAATTCTAAATTCTAACAAGCGCTGATAAGGTGAAGGAGAATTGCATTTCTATTATCACACCAAGCTCCATCACTTGCTGCTACATATTACACTTAGCTCTGCTTTGAAAAAATCAAAATGAAAGTGTATAAGAGTTTCAGTCCCAAGTCTGTAAGTCTCCCTTTGGAGGTCTTGGCTGTTACCATAACGATGGTTCAGAGAATATGTTAAAATCATAATACTGTACTCAGAATTGAGTTGGATAGTGTAGTTCTCAGCATGCCCACCAGGAGGCAACATTTCCCCATAAACTGCTTCTAAACTCAGGGACCATTCCAAGTTGATTACTATATACTACTAACTACATTGCCAGCATTTTACAGTAGTAACAAACAACCTGGTGAATTTCTGATATCTGCAGGTTCTGGATTAATTTTCATTTCCTTTGCAGTCCAAGTGACATTTTTTAGCAGCTGAAAAATTCATTTGAGAAAAGCTGGGTCTGGCTAACCCATGGCTAACTGAATGCTTACATTCTTAACAGTTCCGTAACACCCTTTCTCTAAAAATGCAAATCCACTGGAAGAAGAGAACTTAGAGTGGAGATGCGTTAAATGAGGGTTCTGTCATCTGAATGTATCCACATGGTTCAAAGAGCAACCATATAGAACAGCATTTCCCAAACTTGGGTCTCCAGCTGTTTTTGGACTACAGTTCCCATCATCCCTGACCACTGGTCCTGCTAGCTAGGGATGATGGGAGTTGTAGTCCAAAAACAGCTGGAGACCCAAGTTTGGAACAATCTGATATAACACTGCAATAACTTTTGACAGGACCATAATATATATTTTTAATATCGGTTTGGGAAAGTACGTTTATCAATGGGAAATCTGAATTTCTGGGGATACACATTCAGATGACATAATCAAAGCAGCAAATGGGGGGGCACCATACTCTTAAATGGAAAAATAAGGGAATTAGATGCATTTGGGAATGTCACTATCCAAAGCCGTAGCTACACTGAGAAAAAAAACCCCAGCTGTATCATGGCGGAAACAAGACACAGGAGCGTTAAAAATGTGAGCATCAGAAAAACCTACGTGTGGATGGATAGCATTGCTATGATAAAAATGAAACATCACAGACACTGCTGTGCTGTTTCCTTAACTGTACCTCCAATAATTTCATAAGGGATAGAGAAGAACTTAATCCAATTCAATGTCCTGTTCTTGGCTCCAAGAACAAAATATAGATTGCGGCTGTTCTTCCTGTAACCAAAAACTACAATACAGTTTTGACATTTTCATCTGATGCCCAGGTAACACTGGGAAACACTGAACAATGTAAAATAAATACTCTGCCAGCAGCACGTATTTGAGAAAATTAAACCAAATCAGTCCGAAATGTAATGGAAAATATAAAGCCCTAATTAGAACTTGGGATAAATACAGAGAATAATTGACACTATTGACACCGCTTTTATATTGCAAACATTTTCCAAATGGCAAGGGGATTAGGTAGCTGAGAACAATGTGCTTTTTTTTTTTCAATTTTCTGTGGAGTATGGGACTGGGTGGGAGGGAGGGAGGTAGCTGTCATTTATAAAGCCATGAAATGTAAAATGTAGAATCACTTCCTGATGCCCCCCCCTTATCAGCTTCTGGTTGAGATTCAAATTATTACAAATTAGGAGTCAAATTCAGGCAATACAATGAGAACTAAGTGACACGAAATCTGACAAAATTTGAACAGCTGCTAATACGTCACGTTACTTGCAAAAACGTCTTCTCTGTGGAATTATGTTGGAGACTGAGCCAGAAGATTACAAAGATAAAGACAAATGGGAGAGGGATTTACAGGTGTCAATTTCAAACTCTCTTCGGATTTATATCTGTAGAGAAGGGCCATGTTAACTGTGTATAATTAACCTATATAGATAACTTTTTAAATAAATGGTTGCAATGGCAACATATTTCATCCAGTAAAAAGAAAATACATGGAAATACATCTTGTGCTTTTGGGAGGCATTGTTAAATCAGTGCAGATTTCATGTATATATGGCCATCCCATAAGAAAGCGAGTTTTATATACTGGAGGAATGTTATTAGAAAGATAACATTAACAGGTTACCCCCTCAAAACACACACACAAAAACACCCTCCCCCACTAAACCCCTTAGTAATTATCCTGAGTAATTTGAAACCTTACATCTCAAAAATATGCAGTTCTGCTGTGGGCACAAATTATTTTAATAATGTATTGGGGAAAAGAATGACGTCGCCCGCAACACAGGAATGGATACAGAGTGCAGCAAACAGTGTTAATTCACAAGCTGACCTTTTACAGGCAAGACATTGATGGGAAGGGATGAATCAGATGAGACAATCAGATGAGACGATCACAGTCAATAGGGACTGTTCGTTCCATAGCAGCCTCATAATGGAGCTAATGAAAATGCCTGACAATAAGTGTTGTCAATAGTGCAATACTTTCATTAATGAGACTTAGTTTTGAACAGGACTGGAGGGAGTTTGCGGCCTTCCAGCCACCACCTTCACCGAGCTGATGGGAGTTGAATCTAACAACATCTGAAGGGCCGCAGATTCCCCCATCCTTGGGGATAGTGTACAACAAGCAGTTAGTCCCTAGTTGTTCAACTCTTATTGGAGGTGTTGAGCATCTGAGGATCTCCAGAGAATGGACTCCAGTTCTCATCAGCCTCAGCCAGCATGATCAACAGTCAGGGATGATAGGAGGTTCCTCACCTCTTAGTAACAGTAAACAGATGTTTTCTGAGTAGATGTTAGCGTGTCCCAGATTTTAAATGTTTTTTGGGGGGTCCAACATTTGGTTAATGCAGGATTGCAGACTGAGTGTAATGTCTAGAAGCACAAGTCATGCTTAGGGATGCAAACATTTGCTGACATTCAGCCAGAACATGACCTACAAAGTGAATCTCTGCTTAAGGAGATCCTGCTCTGGAGGGTTTCTCATTGAATTTCTCATAATTCTAGAAGCTACAGGCATAGGCAAACTCTGGCCCTGCAGATGTTTGGGACTACAATTCCCATCATCCCTAGCTAACAGGACCAGTGGTCAGGGATGATGTAGTCCCAAACATCTGGAGGGCCGGAGTTTGCCTATGCCTGATCTACTCCCTACAAAAAATTAGGAAGTCCATCTCTTGTCTTCACAGGCCACTAGAGCAGGGCTTTATCAGTCTGGCCACAGTGCAGCCACTGAGTCACCTCAACGACATGGATGGAAATGGCCACACTGGGGCCAAAACTGCTTCTGTAGTTCTGCGGACCATTTGCAAGTGGCTCCTTCTTACATATGCCCCGCCTACCTCGAGCTCTGCAATGATCCGGTCTTCCTCGTCATCATCTTTGATGGCAGAGGCAATGATGGGGGGCGTTGAGGCAGGCCTAGCGACCTCTGACACAGTCCTCCGCAGCTTCACCTGCGGCTTCTGGGTCTCCAGCTCTTCTGATTCAGCTTTCTGGAAGAACAAGCAAAGGGAGAAGTGATGAATGGGAAAGAAGAAAGGGGAAAGGGCACAGAACAAATCTAGTTCACTGGGAGTGCTCCCTGTTTTTGTGGGAGGGATTAACGTTCATACTAGAAATTTAGGTTTGCACAATCGAAGTGGATGAAAGTGCTATTTCAGCCTAAAATAGCATCTTTATTTTTTTAAAAGAGGCTTTTTGCAGTTTGGAAACAGATGGAGAAATATACTGAGAGGTGTGAGGTGAATGAATGACTAATGGGAAAATGTGCAAGTAAATCGGGATGAATACAGAATGAATGCTCACTGTCATATAACCACCCTGCAAACAAATCAGAACTAATGCTCAATAAAGACTGGATGTACGGGCCCCTCAAGATGTCCTTTTTATTGCGCATTCATGATGATTTGTGCCCACAATGACATCAGGATAGTTATATACAATCCACTTTGCAAACTAACGAATGGACTTTCAGTTGTTTGGAAAGTGATGAGGAAATGCATTTAAAACTGTATGATGAAGGAATGATTAATAGAAAAAGACTTTTAAGACCCTGATGTTGGGAAAGATGGAGGGCACAAGGAGAAGGGGATGACAGAGGACGAGATGGTTGGACAGTGTTCTCGAAGCTATGAACATGAGTTTGACCAAACTGCGGGAGGCAGTGGAAGACAGGAGTGCCTGGCATGCTCTGGTCCATGGGGTCACGAAGAGTCGGACACGACTAAACGACTAAACAACAACAAAACATCCCACAAGCAAATCAGGATGGATGAAGGTTGAATGCTCCTTGTCATAAAACAGCCCCATAAACAAGTCAGGATGAAGACTGGACATAAGTCTAACTGCTGTGTAAACTTTGTGCAAGCAAAGCAGAATTAATGCTGAATGAACAGGTTGTCTGGAGGAGCCGCTGGATATCTCTGGCCTGTCATATAAGGGATTCATACCTTCATGAAACTGGATTCCTTTTTGCTGGTGACGATCACCTCTCCTGTACGGGTGGTCGTGAGACCGTGGGAAGATGGGAAACTCCGCCGAGGTGGGGGTGGGGGAGGAGACTTGGAGGGCTTCTCAGTCCGATATCTGGGCACCGTCAACTCATCTAGGGAGGTTGACAAAGTTAGCAATAGGAGCCATGCATTTAATTCACAGCTTTCTCCAGCACACACAAGGCTGCACATTGTCTATCTGCCCAGATGGATCCGCACATTGGAAGCTGCGTGCAGCTGTCTGGAGGCAGCAATAAAGGACAAGGTCTCAGAGACTTGAGGAACATACATAAACCTCACCCACAAAGGATTAGAGACTGGGGTGACATCCACAACATACGCTGAAATCAGGTTTATACCACTGTTGACAGCCACTTTAACCCCCAAAGGATCTTGGAAACGGTAGCTGACCCCCTCATTGCCTTGACTGCTCCTCATCACAGAGCACTGCACTGTCTGTCTCCCCACCGCTCTGCACCTGCCTTACCTGATCCGCGGCGGCCGCTGGGGTCCATTTTGGTTGTGGCCTTCTGTGCATGTTGGGGTTTGGAGGGCTTGTGCTCTGGGGTGGAGGCGGCGCTCCCACTGCCCCCGCTGCTGGAGGTCTGCTTGTGCTTGGCCGCAAACTCCAAGTCAGGGATGGCTTTCATAAGCTCAGCTTGGGTCTCTTCCAGGAGGCGGTTAATATCCTTGGCGCTGTACTGGGTCAAGGCTGCTCGCTTTTCCTCCCAGTCTCGCTCGGCAGCCTGTAAAGCAGGGCTGGGGTAACTGATACACTCATTACTCTAGACCAGGGTGGCAGACTAGACCATGGGTAGGCAAACTAAGGCCCGGGGGCTGGATCCGGCCCAATCGCCTTCTAAATCCGGCCCGCGGACGGTCCGGGAATCGGCGTCTTTTTACATGAGTGGAATGTGTCATTTTATTTAAAATGCATCTCTGGGTTATTTGTGGGACATAGGACTTCGTTCATCCCCCCCACAAAAAAAATACAGTCCGGCCCCCCACAATGTCTGAGGGACAGTGGACTGGCCCCCTGTTGAAAAAAATTGCTGGCCCTTGGACTAGATTCTACATAGCAGCTGAGCATTTGATTTCTCGTGGGAAGTGCTTAGGCTCGAGCCTTTAACCTTGAGGATGGAAAAACATGGAGGCTACCACTAAGTGAGGAGCGCTGTACCTTTTATAGAAAGGGGGGAAATCCGCCTTCCCCTCTCCTTGCTGTTCAGTGGGAAAGAAGAGGAAGGCTGGACCCAGGCCAAGCTACAGTCCGATCCCTGTCTGCGGAGTTGGTTCTGTTCCTCTGAGCTTGTGGCAGTGAAGTTTCTAACTGATTGACTGAGCTGCCATGGAATGTTCACTGACATTGCACTATGGCAAGTGAAGTCAGTGAGAAACCATTCCAGCTTCTCAGTGAACAATGATGCCAGAACAGCCTCCAGTCCAGAAGGGGAAATTGTTTAAGCTTGGCTGTGATTAAACTCTCACATAGGTCCTAGGGACAGGGGTAGTTTTGTGAGGCAGGCTGTGGGTTGGGAAGATGTCTCAGGAGGTAAAGGAGTTATGGGTCAAGCATGTATTAGAAAAAACACATGGGCAAATAGCGGCTAGGTGGAGAGGAAGGAGTGTTGAGGAGACTGGAACTCAGGAAAAAAGAGGATAGTGCATGGGTAGGCAAACTAAAGCCTGGGGGCCGGATCTGGTCCAATCGTCTTCTAAATCTGGCCCACAGACGGTCTGGGAATCAGCATGTTTTTACATGAGTGGAATGTGTCCTTTTATTTAAAATGCATCTCTGGGTTATTTGTGGGGCATAAGAATTTGTCCCCCCCCCAAAAAAAACACCAAATATAGTCCAGCCCCCCACAAGGTCTGAGGGACAGTGGACCGGCCCCCTGCTGAAAAAGTTTTGCTGACCCCTGGGATAGTGAGTATGGAAGAGGGAAGAGAGATTTGTCTAGTGTGAAACAAAATGACCAATAGGGCTGGAGCAGGGATGAGAAACCTGCTACCCTCCAGATGATCTTCGACTTCAGCTTCCATCGGTCTCTGCGGGGATGATGGGAGTTGTAGTCCAACAACATTTGGAGGGCCATGTATTCTCCATTCCTAGGTTGGGGTCTAGCCCTGAAAGAACTTCTATACCTTTAAGAGTTACACAGAAAGGAAATTCTATCTGTTGTGGCCTCTACAGTCACTGGAGCATTGTGTTTGTGTAACATAACATTATATTTACTTTGTGAAAGCAGTTACAGGTTTTCTTTAAATTGCATACATAAATCACTAGGAAGGTAATTGCATCAAATGAGGGGCCACCACTGAGAAGACCCTGATTCTCCAATTCACAAGCAGGAAAAAGAGGAGGACCACAAAGGGAGGGAAGAGAGGTTAAGTGATCGCTGTCAACATTGGTGATAGACTGCACTTGCTTGGAGCAGAGGGACAGCAAATACCATGGGGCAAAGTTTTCCATCTCAGGCACTAAAATGTTGTAGTATGGCTCTGGATCTTGCCTGAGGAGTAGCTGTTTCCAAAGGCTTTGCATACAAATTCCCTCTCCTGGACTACTTCCAGACTGTCACATTTTAGCACTCACCTCTCGCTCCCATTCCATTTTTGTTTGTTTGTTTGTTTTTGTCAACAGCACAGTTAGGGCACACATTGCCTTATCCATTTCAGCTGCTCTCCTCCCCTGGAACGTTCTGGAATGTTTCTATGTTATTACACCCACAATGGGTCTTGCCCCACCATTATGAGTCCTTACCAGGTTTGCCCCTCCCATTGTCCCACTAACAGTGCCCCCTTTTAATCACCCCTTCCCTCACCGAGCAGAAGTGTGCAATATGGAAATGCTGCGTTTCTGTGACCTGGGAAGAACCACCGTGTGTTTGATGGGAATCCAGTGTGTGAGATGCATCTTATTCCTTAAGGACCTTGTTTCTCTTCTGCTTCATCATCATAAACTGCTCTCACCTCCATAGACACTGATCTGTCCACGCTCCTCTTGCTGGGGGTCTCGGAGCCTGTCTGGGTCTTGGCAGCAACCATCTCTGAACCCCGGGATGGGTTGCTACCCTTGGACAAGTGGCTCTGCATTTGGCTCTGCCCGTAGCTGCTCGTGCCCAGGCTGTCCGTGGAAGCAGTCAGGTCGTGGAGGTTCATTGGGGGGCTGGTGGGTACCTCGAAATCCAAGCCCCTGCTGAAGTCACTTTCTGGCTCCACTTTCTTTGGAGACTGGCTGAGGAGGTTACTGGACGAGTCCCAGACCCCTTCGTCAACTTGCCTGCCGAGAAAAAGGTCAAAGGTCAGAGTGTGTGGGCGACAGACTCCAAAATGGCTGCCACCAGCAAATAGCAGCAAACGCCGCTGCGTCTGTTTGCCTACAAGGGCCGTTCTCTGAAACTGCACGTTAGGGGTGCATGAACAGCAGCATTGATAAAACGATGGCTGAGGAGCCTGGAGGTCAGTGAGGACGAGAGAAGCTGCGGCCGTTTGGAAGAAGCAAATGCGGGTGCAATGGCAATCGGGGCGATGATGGCAGCGGAGCCCTGGCCAGTGGGAGGGGCCTTAGGGATCAGGAGGCGGGGCTTTAAAGAAACACCACACTTACATCACCCGGAGAATGGGCTGGGGACACCTGAGGTCGTTTTCGCTCGTGAAGCTTAAGCAAGCCCAATCCTGGCCAGTACCTGGAAATCCCATTTATTTAGGAATCCCATGTGTTCTGTTCTGAGCTCCTTGGAGGAAGCAGGTGGGACGCAGGCACGGCAAATAAAAACGCCAGGCGTTTTCAGGTACACCTGCAGCGAACTCTAGCATCTTTGTGGGAGGGGACAGAAGGTTACGTCTCGGCCTATTGGGTCCCAGGAGAAACAAGCAGGGCTTCCGCTCGCTCGGGAAGGGGCTCACTCACTTGCGGACTTGCGTCAGGGTGTCGGTCACTGCCTTGCACCGCTTGAATAGGCCGTCCAGCCGGTGAGGCTCTTCCTTGAGGAACTTCACGGCCTCCACCTCCACGCGGAGGACCACGCGCATTTTGCTCTGCAGGCTGGGGAAATTAGCTGCAATGCCAGGGACGGGCAGAGAGGGAAGGGAGAGGCACGGGGGTCAGAGCAGGCCCGAGGAAGGCTTTCACCTGAGGGTGGGCAGGAGAGGGAGGCACAGAGCCGAGAAGGGAAGCAGGCGGGTGGGTGGGATGGCAAGGCTCAGGTGAGTGAGAAGTGAGGCCTCCTCTGGCCGACACTGTTACTTGGCCTCAGAGGAGGAATGGCGTTTGCACCCCACCCACTCACTGCGTCAACACCCACCACCACCACATCTCTCCTCCCTCCCACTCCCAACAGCACAGCCAGTCAAAAGCAAGGTAAGCGGTCGTGTGTTCTGCATTAATGGGGGAGTGTGAAGAAGGGCTACAAAGCCACAGCTGCTCAGCGCCCTCTGTGGAGATTTGGTATTTTTTCAAAAAAAATGTTTTCATGAGAGCTAGCAACTTAAAACATAAATGAACCCTGAAATGTCCTTGATATTTCTCTCCCGCCAGGCATGGCGGAGGGACTGGGGAGTGGGCGAGGAGATGGCGTTGATAGCAAAACCAGCACGGCCTAATGCCCATCAACAACCGCTGGAAACGCATACAAAATGTGTCACATTGCACGGGGTGTGTGTGTCAAGACTGGTGCTTATCAATTGATCTCTGATTCAAACATGAACGTTATCAGGATATCCCTTCTTTATTGCTTTTACATAGTTCCCCCCCGCCCCGGCTTCTGTTGGTTCTGAATGTCAGAAATTTAGTGAATATTGGTAGGCACTAGTAAAAAGAAACATCCAAAATCTCTGTGTTGTGGATCTGCTTTTCCCAAGAGGTTCTTTTTTCTGGAAATAGTGCAAATGAAACTAACAATATGACACTTAATAAAAGGATTCCGTTAGCACTGACGTTTCTTAGTAAATGCCTATATTTTCTAAAACCTCCTTCTTGGATCTATTGAAATACTAAGACTTGCTGGAAAACGCTAAGATCTGGCGAGTTTTTTGACATTTTTTGGTATCTGCCATTTTATACTAGCTTTTCACATTTGCCATAATATGATACAGCGTCCTTCCTCTCAGAATGTTTGAGAATGCAATTTTATATCCACTTACCTGGAAGTAACCCCCACTGAATTCCATTAATCTTACTTCTGAATAGACATGAATAGGATTGCACTGTAAAGCTCAGGCTTGTTTTGTCCATAGTGAGGATGAGGGTCTATCAATTTAGGTTTTTTTCCAATCTTAAGTTCAAATCTCTACATTTTCACAGATTTGCAATTTTATTTATTTATTTATTTAAATCCTCACGAAATTGCAGATATATGCAGCTATATGAACACTACTTGGATGGCCATCTGTCATGGATGCTTTAGTTGAGATTTCTGTATTGTAGGGGGTTGGACTAGATGACCCTTGGGGTCCCCTCCACCTCTACAGTTCTATGATTCTATATACATTTTTGCACACATTACCTGGCCGGAGAACTGCGCTGGAAAAATTCAGAGGAGCGCACATTACAAAGGATGACTATATTTCGGGTTAGTGTATTGTTTCGGAAAGCACAGATTTGGTGGGTTTGCCTTTAAATGTGGACTGAATTGAATTGCTCCTCCATCCATAGGTTAAAGCATGGGTTGGCAAACTAAGGCCCACGGGCTGCATTAGGCCCAATTGCCTGCGGACGGTCCAGGAATCCAGGCAGCCGGCATAGCACGTGTGCGCGATGGTTTTTGCAACTCAGCCAGGATTGGGGGTCAAAAGTGAGGTGGGCGGCTGCTCGAGGCAAGCCCCTTTTCCGTCCGTCGCGCACACGCAGCAATCTTTTCTTCTGGGGTGAGGGGTGGGGAAGAGGGAAAAGGAGCCACAGTTCGGATTTCCACCATGGAGCTGCCAGCGACTGACCTCAGGAAGGGCAGTTGCGGCGGCAGGGGCTCAGAGGCGCCTCAGGAGTGACACCCGCCGGTGTCTGGCGGTGGTGCTCCCCACCAGAGGAAGTGAGGAACGCCTGGGCAACTGCACTCCAAAGCAGTTCTATGCTCTGCTGGGGAGGCCGCTCATTAGCTACATGGCGCGAGCCATGGAAAGGTAAATAGCCCCCACCACCTCATCTTCCCTCACGCGGGGAAAAGAAAATTTTTGCTTGAGCGGCGCTGGCCTGACTAAATGTGGCCAATGGCTTTTCCCTTCACCCACACATGCGCACACGCTCTCCAGGGCTGACAGGAATAGTGCGCTTACCTCAGCCCCCCACCCCGCCTTACGAGAGAGATAATAACTGTCAACACGTAAAATGCAAAGGAAGCAGTGTGGTTATGAGGGAACACCCCCCCCCAAAAAAAAATCACATTTGGGCAATGTTGGGGTTGGTCCCAATAGGGGTTTTTCGCCAAAAATGCGGGTCATAATCATGGAAACATATAGTCCGGCCCCCCACAAGGTTTGAGGGACAATGGACCGGCCCCATGATGAAAAAGTTTGCTGACCCCTGGGTTAAAGCGAAGGAAAAGGAAAGGCGAAGAGCCTCTCTACGTACAAATGGAAGGGGCACAGGAAAATGCAGGAACTGCCACATTTGATCAGCCCGAGTCCTCGGAATGTGCTCAGGCAGCAAGCAGCAGTGCAAACGAGGACACCAGCAGGCAAGCATCACGCAGGGGATCTGCACACACTTCTATGCATGTTCAATTGCCTGTGTGTGTGTAAATGCTAAGGGTGCTCGCTTTGCTAACAAATGAATAAGCAAATGGGGAGTGCGCACACGTTCTGCGGAGTTAACTGTAAGACTCTTTTTGGGGGGGGAGCAGCTCAATGGCACTCTTAAGCTTGCTACCCTAGCTTGGGCCAACACAAATTATTTTAGCTATACTTTTTTATCATACTTGATTGTATTTTCCTTGGGGTTTTTACATATCCAGGTTGCTTTTTGAATGTATCATTATAAAAAAGCAATCAATACATGTATCACCATCATCATAATTATTAATAAATAACATCAGCATCAACACAGCTGAGTGGTATGGGAAGACTGAAAAAAGGAGGACAGAATTGTTTTTATAAGATTTTTACATCTCAATGCCACTTTTTGAATATATGTCATTATGAAAATGTGGTCAATACATCATCATCATCATTAGCAGCATCAGCACAATGCAGTGCTATGGAAACAATAATAATAATGGGGGATGAGCTTTTTATTCATGGACACTGTATGAATATAGACCAATTTATCATGTGGCAACTCTCCACATAATTGCCTTTTCACGCTGATCATGTCTAACCTCCTGCCAAATGGCGAAGAGGAGAATTATAACACTCCCATGCGCGCATGGATTTCCAATCAAGCACAGAAGCACAGCCAAATTCTCTCCACCAGGGGCAGCACATCCCGCTTCGCCCCCTGAGGTATAGCGCAGATGGGGCCTCACGGTCTACCAACAGCTATTGGCTACAGTGGCCTTCCTCTGCTCAGTATCCTCCAGAAGTTCTGGACTACAGCTCCCATCAGTCTCAGCCAACACTGGCAGAGGCTGATGGGAGTTGTAGTCCAGAATATCAGTGTGGCACCAGATTGGGGGAGGCTGGGCTATGCAATAACTTAAAATTAAGCCTCCATGTTCAGGGGCAGAGCATTGAGTTCAGGGGCTGGCACTAAGCCACAGGGGGTGTCTGCCTCCCCCATGTCCTGCTTGTGGACTTCGTGGGGCATCTGTCTGGCCACTGTAGGGATTGCTGAGCTCAACAGACCTTTGGTCTCAGCCAGCATCGTGATTCATGGGTTCTGAGGACTAATTATCTTGGAAAGGCCACTGCTTCCTGGCGCTTTTACAGATAGGCTGTTCATAATCCGTGTGACAAATAACACTTAGCTAGCACTGGGAAAATGAAAAATCAACTCTCTGCACTCAAGGGAAATTTAGACTGTTTTAAGGCACAGCTTTCTTATTTCTCAACAACCACAACAAAAAGAAACTCGCCTGAAATCCATTTAATTCTGAACCTGAGATTTGGGTTTTGATAGAATTTATACATCGTTTTGGCACAATGGTGGCAGAAGCGAAGATGGAGGAAAAGAGCAGTGTGGAGACGTGTGAAACAGGGGGAAGATAGCTGGAGGAAAAGCCAGTGAGAGGCAGAATATGGAACCACAACATCTTTGTGGGAAATGACCAGAAGGCCAAACAAGAAAGGACCATTTGTTCACCAGCACTCCACACACAGATCAACACATACCCTGTTCCTAGTACATAAAATCTAGATTTCAGCAGACACACCACCTATCCGGTCCTTAAATTCATCTCTCAGGCAATCATGAGGGCTGGAAACCTCTCTTTTTAAAAAAGATGATAGCATAAATTCTCACATACTTATGTTCTGTGCCAGATACTACTACGCACACATCCCAGCCTATGGAACAGTGCAGGAAAAACTTTATCCCAACCCAATCACAGTTATTTGAGCTCCCCCAGTCCCCTCTCACCTTTCAGCTCGGTCAAGGTATCTCCCAGCTGTTTAAGCACCAGGGATTTCTCCTCCAGCTCTTGCGAGGAGATAATTCGGTGATTGTGCATCAAATCTTTCTGGATCCTCTCCACCGATTTCTCCAGGTCGCTGCAGACACACAAAGACACCAACACAGAAGTCAGAGAGTGAGAAAAGGATGCAGGTAGGGAGAGACAGATCTTTCTCCCAGATTCTCATTTCTCCATTCTGAAATCCAGTTCTCCACATTTAATGCAGCAACTAGCATTTTTTTTTAAAGCCCATTAAAGTTGTCAGCATTTTAGCAAGAATTTCACCTAATAAAAACATTTTTGTATGCCATTTTCACTGAAGTGCATATTTTTGCAAGCGATTTCCCCAAACGTTTCCACCAACACATTACTCCTAATGCATGCATTTTTGTAAATGTTGTTTGGTTTGAGAACTACACTGCAAGATCCAGAGAAGTACAAATTTTGAAGGATATCTATGTTTCCAATTCTCATACCATTCTGGAAAGCAGAAATTAAGTTGTTTAACCTTTAAATGCAAACTAAATTGATTCTCTCCTCAGTCACCAGAGGTAGGGCTGGTCTTATTCTTCCTTCTTTCAAAGAACATGGAAGGGGAAGGCAACATAGCACCAGTGAACTGGTTTTAATAAGCTTCAAACTGGAGTAGGAAATATATTTTTTCCCCCAGCCCAAGAGCTGCATTCCTCCAGGATCAACCTTCCGTTTCAATATGAGTAGGAAAATGAGAGTACTCCTAAACATTTTTTTAAAGGAAAAAAAGCACTGGATCTCTCCATCCAGGTATGCAGGATGCATCAAGAACGCATTCCAACCAATCAGAAGCACTAGAGGAACAGGAAGAGCAGGGCTGGTGAGGGGCGTGACCTGGGAAGAGGGGGTGTGGCCTGGGAAGGGTTTCAAGCGCCAGATAGAGAGGCTCAGAGGGCTGTTTCTGTGTTGTTCATGGGCCACTGTTTAGCTTGTACGCTATTTTAGCCACTTTGTGGGGTTACTCTCCTAAAAAGCCGGGATATGCACCTATGAAATAAAGAGAACAAATCAACCTCACATCTAGGTAACACTACTTTACTCATTACTGGCCTTCGCCTCCTGTTGCCTCTCCTCCCTCCAGCCAGTTCATATAACCTTTGTTAAGCTAATTCTACAATCACATCATGCAGGCTTGTAAACAGCAATTTAACCGATCGCTGGCGGCAAGCAAGACTGATTGATGCGTGAGTAGGAATGTCGGGGAATTCCAACGAACATGGAAACGGGAGTGAAATTTGCCAACACTCGCTTATTCGTTCCATGTCAGGAATGAAAATAGATCTAGGTAATACAATCGGCAATGGCTGCTGCTGTTGCTTTCAGCCCACAAACAACATGCAATTGATTACGTTTCCTCCTGCTGCTCATTTGCATTTTGTTTCCTCTGCAGTGAAATGAACGGGATGGAATATATTGTAATGACAATGCAATATTTTAAAGTTACAATAATTTTGCCACAGTGGGCAGGGTGAGAAATAATGTTGGTTTTGGTGGAAGATGAACTGCAGCAGAATGAAAACAGTGCTGCATGAGACACATACGGGGCAGAATGGGGGGGGGGATACATTCTTACATCCCTATGTGTCAGAGGGGATGTATGTGAGAGTACGGCCATAACAGAGTCGGGCATGGGTTTAAGCATTGGACTGCGCGTTGTGTGTGCATGAATGGTCCTTGTGTTACTAGTATGTGTGTGAACATGGATCCATTTATAATAATAATAATAATAATAATAATAATAATAATAATAATAAGTTATTTATATCCCGCCCATCTGGCTGAGTTTCCCCAGCCACTCTGGGCAGCTCCCAATCGAGTGTTAAAAACAATACAGCATTAAATATTAAAAACTTCCCTAAACAGGGCTGCCTTCAGATGTCTTTTAAAGATAGGATAGCTGCTTATTTCCTTCACATCTGAAGGGAGGGCATTCCACTACCAAGAAGGCCCTCTATCTGGTTCCCTGTAACCTCACTTCTCGCAATGAGGGAACCGCCAGAAGGCCCTCGGTGCTGGATCTCAGTGTCCAGGCTGAACAATGGGGGTGGAGACGCTCCTTCAGGTATACAGGACCGAGGCCGTTTAGGGCTTTAAAGGTCAGCACCAACACTTTGAATTGTGCTCGGAAACGTACTGGGAGCCAATGAAGATCTCTCAGGACAGGTGTTATGTGGTCCTGGCGGCCACTCCCAGTCACCAGTCTAGCTGCTGCATTCTGGATTAATTGCAGTTTCCGGGTCACCTTCAAAGGTAGCCCCATGTAGAGCACATTGCAGTAGCCAAGCGGGAGATAACTAGAGCATGCACCACTCTGGTGAGACAGTCTGCGGGCAGGTAGGGTCTTAGCCTGTGTACCAGGTGGAGCTGGTAGACAGCTGCCCTGGACACAGAATTAACCTGCGCCTCCATGGACAGTTGTGAGTCCAAAATGACTCCCAGGCTGCGCACCTGGTCCTTCAGGGGCACAGTTACCCCATTCAGGAACAGGGAATCCCCCACACCCACCCGCCCCGTCCCCCCAAAACAGTACTTCTGTCTTGTCAGGATTTAGTACGTTTCCCTGCTGCAAAAGAATCACTATGGGGTGGAAAAAGAATTCAGGATAAAAAAATAAATCAGGAAGCTTACTGAAATAGAAATGGTGAAGTAACAAGCCGTTTCCCCCGCCTTCAAACTGACTGGATTAATGTAAATTTGAGTCATGACAAGGAAGGAACATTTTTAGATGCAATAAATGATTGTGCTTTGGAATAGTTAGCCATTGAACTGACTCTTGATTTATCTTAAACCCTGCCCAGAATCTAGTGTGGGAGAAAATTGCCCAGAAAGACTGACCTAGCCATACTTTAAACTTCAAAAGTCAGGATTTCTCCACAAATGAGGGGATTAGCTATAAAGGAGCCGAAAGGTGTAGCTAGGAAGGTCAAATCCCCTCAGCAAGCCTGGAGGTAATTTAAAACCATTACAATACAGGCTCAGATAACATGTACACTGTAGATTAGAAAAAGGCAGCACACTGAAGACCAAAAGGTTACCAGTGTGGTTAAACAGCAAAGTCCAGGAAGCGAGAAAAGGCAAGGCGGCTTCTCGTGCTGTGAAATTCTCAGGTATGCATATGCAGTAATTCTCAGAGAGTTCAGCGGGTCTTATTAGATTCTAGTAAAGATGTTGGAGACGGCAGGCAGCTATATGAAGCCTCTGTAGCAACCTGAACTGCTGAAGACATCAGAGGAGATATGTACAGTGAAACCTTGTTTGGGGGAAGTGCAGCTAGCTTTTAAATTTTGTTACATCATCTTCAAAAGAAACCTGAGTATCTTACAAGAACAAAAGCAAGTTGTATTAAAAAACCAAAATCATAAATATATCAAAATGATAGAATGAAGCTGTGAACAAAAACAGAAGCATAGAAAACAAGACACATATATAAAACACAAAAATAATAGCAGATTGAAAGGGGGTGGGTGTTCAGAAACAAGCTGCAAGGCTTTCTAAAAAGCCAGATTTTTTTACTTGCCATCTAAAAGCATTTGATGCTGGAGCTAGGCAGGCGTCCCAAGGGAGGGCATTCCACGGGGCTGGTGCCACAACCAAAAAAGGCCCTGCTCCTGATAGATGTTGGCTGCCCTCTAAGTAGTCCAAAGCAACGCCTCAAACGCTGAGCAAAGTGCAAAGGGGGGAGAGACACGAAGAAGAGGTGGTCCTTAAATGAAACTAACCCCGCCACTTCTTGCTTTAAGATAAGAACCAGCAATTTAATTTGGCCCTGGGAATGAACAGCAGACCAAATCAGAGTAGGACAATGTACCGTATTTTTCGCTCTATAACACGCACCCAACCATAACACGCACGTAGTTTTTAGAGGAGGAAAATATGTAGGCATGCCACCCGTGGGCATTCCCTCCATAACATGCACAGACATTTCCCCTTACTTTCTAGGAGGAAAAAAGTGAGTGTTATGGTGCAAAAAATACGGTATATTTAGCCACCCAAATGCAAACAGCCGCTTGACAAGGTACATCTGCTGAAGTTCACCTTCTATAAAACTATTAAAGGTATTGGAGCCTTGCCTTCTTTCTTTTTTACTCTGTCACCCTAAAAGGACAGGGGTAGGAATGGGGCTGGAGCCCCAACCAGGTGCCAAAGCAAGCCTCATTGAGATGCAAGACCTGGACGCTTGTAAAAAGGCATTCTTAGCCCTCATCACCAAGCTCCAAACAGCAGAGTTCAGGAGGAACATAGGAAGCTAGTATGTTATATTGAATCAGACCACTGGTCCATCTAGCTCAATACTGTCTCCACTGAAGGGCAGTGTCTTCCCAGGTATCATACAGGGAGTCTCTCCTATCCCTACCTGCAGATGCTGGTGACTGAAGCAGGAGCCTTCTGTACACAACACAGATGCTCTACCACAGAGTTATGACCCTTCAATGAAACCTCACCCAACACCAGCCAGATTTCCAGTACTGGATCAGCTGAACAACCCTCTCTCTCCACTGCAAACCAACAGCTATTTTCATCATATCTGGGTTAAGTTCTGATTTGTTCACCCACATGCAGTCCCTTACAACTCCCAGGGTTTCCATTGCAATCCCTAGGTTCTGTTGACATTGTGAGACAAGAGGCTGGGTGACATCAACATATGAATGATGCGCTGGTCCAAATTTATGAAGCTCCCCATAAATCAATTATAATGGGGTAAATGAGTAGTTCCCCCCCCAATGTCTTTATGCCACATTGATATCAAATAGATGCATCAAAATATGAAGTTTTAGAACTAATTAACAAGGGACATATTCCTAGTCTCTTTGGTGTATATATAGGTTGTAGCCCACATTTATTCGTGGTCTGTCTTTAGCTTCTTCAACTTAAACAGCACTTCCTTTTTGTGTAATTCTCCCTATAATATATCTATGTTACCATATTTGTTGAATGGCAGCACCATTCTGGCAAGATATGATATGATACTGTTGTCTCATTATCTTCTATATAAAGAATCTACAGTTTGGGATCTAGAATATGTCTGTACACTATGGTGGAATTGCATCTTTCTCTTTGCTAAAAAAAAGAAGAAAGTTCTGCAATCCAATTAAAGAAAAAGTCACTCAATTGATCATTTTAATTTTGGTCAATTAATCTAGCTATTACATTTGCACAAATGCAATTGAGAAACCAGGGTGAATTGCAGCAAGGTAATCAAATATGATAAAATCCAGAAAGCATTCATGCAGTCTGATACTATTCATGAATGCAAATGCCTCTCCATCTCTTTAAAACTTTTGCAAATAGCACCTGGGGTGGGGGAGGAACTGGGCTGAGTCCGCAGCATGAGGAATTTATTCCTGCATTTGTATGTCTTGACTTTCCTCCCTCAGAGCAAACAGCAGACTGCAGCAGGGTTGGGGGGGAGGTGCAGGGGAAGGATTAAACCTTTATTGGTCCTGATCTAGATTGGGTGCACATCTGCTACTGTAAAAGTAATAGACAACTCACTGAGTTCCATGGGACTTAATCCCTAGTAAGTGAGTAAGATTGTAGTCTTAGATGGCTGCACTGAATAATTTGATTTGCTACCCACTTTCCTTTCCCCTTATTTTTCTTACCTCCCCCCACCCCACTACCTCTGCCTTTAAACCATGTTAAATTTCAATAACTATAGGAAGCCCGAGTTGTTTTGTGGTGACAGTTGCAACTCTGCGAGGTTGTAAACTGCGGTGCCCAGAATTCTTTGAGGAGAAGACTTTACTCCAAATGTGTTTTCAACATATAGTGTGTTGCGCAGCCTAAGCCTTTCAAATCTCTATTCTAATGATTTCATGGGGGCAAACCCAGTTGTATTTCATTTGGGAATTTGGGACTAGTGAGTCTACAGAGAGTGAGATTACATTTCATCCAGGGAAGGTTGCTGAGCAGAATGAGCAATTTGTCACAGACAGCAGGCACACATAGGGACACTTTTTCCCCCTGGATGCCCTTCTGCAGGTGTGCACAAACTTTTATTTATTTATCTAAAAGTGTTTCTAAACCACTTTTGTGTTTTTAAAACTCTAAAAGTTTTCAACCAAGACACTGGGATTATCCAGCCAACAGAGGACACTGGGATTATCCCCATATGAGATGGATCCACATGTATATATTTTGTAACTGTCTGCCTTCAGGGATCCAACTGTGAACTGATGATGTGAGTAAACTTCTTTTATATACTTTAAACAAGATTGTGGCGTGTTTATTCTTTGAAGAGGGATATAAGGGAACTTAAGGGTAAAGGTAAAGGTACCCCTGCCCGTACGGGCCAGTCTTGACAGACTCTAGGGTTGTGCGCCCATCTCACTCAAGAGGCCGGGGGCCAGCGCTGTCCGGAGACACTTCCGGGTCACGTGGCCAGCGTGACAAAGCTGCATCTGGCGAGCCAGCGCAGCACATGGAACGCCGTTTACCTTCCCGCTGGTAAGCGGTCCCTATTTATCTACTTGCACCCGGAGGTGCTTTCGAACTGCTAGGTTGGCAGGCGCTGGGACCGATCAACGGGAGCGCACCCCGCCGCGGGGATTCGAACCGCCGACCTTTCGATCGGCAAGCCCTAGGCGCTGAGGCTTTTACCCACAGCGCCACCCGCGTCCCCAGGATAAGGGAACTTACCAGGAACCTAATCGTGAGAGGCTTACACAAGCCTGCAACCAGCTATCTGCTGTGCGTTTAAAAGGGGAATGTAAAACTCTGCTAAGTAAAAGAACTTGCTAGCGCAAGTTAGGAAGGATATTAATAAACAATATTCTCATCTCCTGCCTCCCTGAACCTTCCCACATATATCCCCTTGCAAAACCCTCACTTTAGCTGTTGGGTGATGAGCTCTTCCTCGTTGAGGTAGCGGAGGCGCTCCTCTTCCACCAGGGTGCGCTGGCGCTGCAGGGGATCCTCCTGCTTGCGCATGGTGTCTGTCACTCTCACGCTGATCTCCGTCTCTGTCCGCCTCAGCATCGTCTTCACCGTCTCTTGGTTTTGAAGCTGCAAAGGACAAGCGGGGATGGGGGGGTAGGGGGGGAGAGAGAAAATCAAGGTGTTGCAGGAAGACAAGCAGTTGCAGCTTAGAGGAACCATCGAGGCCACGGTGCATCAGAGGCTGGGAAAGAAGAGGATGAAAAGAAAGCTCCTCCAGCCCTTTTGGGAGCACACTTGAAGAGCATCCTGAATAATCAGGTGATTCAGAGCGCAACTAATCTGCCGCTGAAGATAACGGGGCTGCTCTCTGCGACGTGCATCTATTTCCTTTTATGTTTGTGGCTTCACGTCAAGGGCACTTGCTCTGATCCAAGGAAATGAATCTGAGCATGCAAACAGCAGGTTCTTGCGAGGAGATCTGATGCTCTGCGCTGGCAGAAGCCTGGTGTGTAGAAGGGAAAGGGCTTGACACGCGCCTAAACCCATCACCGTTCCCATAGGACACCCCCCAAAAAAGCTGGCATACTTTTCTCTGTGGGAGCTCTACAATTCTATGATTCTCAGTTATAGGATACCTGCAGGAAGTTACGGGACATGCACAGATTGGAAATGAAGCAGTGTGCCCTGCCCCAAAACTTTTGCAGGCGCAGACAGGGTTGAAAGCGGGATTGCTGGTAACTGCCCTGATACTGTCATGGGCACAAATAATCATGAATGCACATTAACAAGGACGCCAGGGGAAGCCCATAGATTCTCCCTCCATTACGCTCATAGGATTGCTCTGCCTGCTGTCATATAATACTTAGAAAAAGGAAATATATGCTAGGGCTAAGCCCTGACAATAATTACACAGAATCGTGAAAACTAATATCTCTGAACATGGGATTTCTGTCTGTCCCAAAGAGCTTGGATTTCTTGCACTTGGATGGATTAACTTATATTTCTCATTCAATAAAAGAACAGGCCAGAAAGATGAAATTATTCTCTCTCTCGTATACCCAAGTTAACCTCTTAATGCGCCCTGGCCTAAGGCAAGGCTGCCTTTTGGGTGCAGCACCTAGAAGAGAAGCTCTCAGGATGCTCTCCCAGAGCCCAGTGGAGCGATGCACTCCGCACGTGAATGACAATGACGGAGGCAGGCAAAGCTCAGAGACCGGACGTGGAATGCTTTCCAAAGTTCAGAAGCGTCTGGGGGAAATGAGGCAGTGTGAGCCATTTGCCTTTCCACCCCTCTGCACCATTCGCCACTTTCCTGCTTCCAACAAGCTGTCACTGTTAATTAGCTCTGGAGCTAAGCAACTCCGAGGAAAAACACTGGCGCCTCCCACGCTCGGGGACGACAAGATCGGATCGCTGGCTCTGGATGCGCAGCTGCCATCTGGCCTTTCGCTTGGTGCCAGATATTCCAAAATAACCCGTCACCGAGAAGGGTTTGTTTTGGTGAGCGCTGCTAATGAGAATAAAAGCCAAATGAAAAGGGAAAAGAGATGAAGGGTGAAAACAGAGCAAGATGGATTGGGCTTGGGTTTGTTTTGCCCCCTTTTTGTTTTCAAGGCAAGCAGCTTGCTTTTCCCTGGACGTCAGAACAAAGTTCGCTGCAAAAGGAAGGCTTGGGAGCGGCCGCCAGGACCATATAACACCGGTCCTAAAGGATCTATGCTGGCTCCCAGTACGTTTCCAAGCACAATTAAAACTGTTGGTGCCAACCTTTAAAAAGCCCTAAATGGCCTCAGCCCTGTATGCCTGATGGAGCATCTTCACCCCCATTGTTCAGCTCAGACACTGAGGTCCTCCTCCCCGGCCCTTCTGTCAGTTTCCTCACTATGAGAAGTGAAGTTACAGGGAACCAGGCAGAGGGCCTTCTTGATAGTGGCGCCCACCCTGTGGAATGCCGTCCTATCAGATGTCAAACAGATAAATAACTATACAACTTTTAGAAGACATCTGAATGTTTGAAGTTTTATTATGCTTTTATATTTGTTGGAAGCTGCCCAGAGTGGATGGGGCAACCCAGTCAGATGGGCGGGGTACAAATAATGAAATTATTATTATTATAAATGTGAAACATGAGACTTTGCTCTTTATACCCAACTGAAATGAAGCTTCAGTACCAATGAGAGCATAGAAAGCTGGCTTCTCCAGAATCAGACCAATGATCCATCTAGCACAGCATTGGCTACCCTACCATAAGGACTAGAAACTTGCCCTTTTTAAAATGAAAGCTGCAATTTCCTCCTGATGCACCCAATAAAATATATTCCTAACTTTCGTTTATTTTATTTTTCACTCCCATGGAAAGGCAGTGTAGACACAGCCCTTCTCCAAATCCAGCTCACCTGCAGTTTCTTCAGCTGCTGCAGCTGGTTGCGGAGGTCGCTGGCATTCTGCTGCAGGTCGTGAAGATGCAGCTGCATGTGTAGACGGGTGATGGCAGTGGGCTGCCCAGCCGGTGTCCCAGAAGTGGGTGGGGGTGGAGGACCAGGTACAGGTGTCCCAACGTTGCTTCTGCTGGGGGCTGAAAGAAGGACAGCAGGAGAGAGATTCATAACTTGTACAATCCAGAGTAATAGAGACTTGCAGTTGCTTTCAGTCCAATATTGAACTGGCATTATACTCTAATGCCCAGTGCAAAGCATATGCGCCTTTAACTGTAGAGATGCCAAGACCTGGACCAACATCACTCTACGACCATAGAGAATAATGGGACAAGAGCAACTCTCAATTCTTACCACAAGTTTGGACGGGTGGGGTTATTGTGTTGATCTCACAACTCACCCCAACCCAAGTTTTCCTGTTCCTGTCCCTCATTTCTCCTTCCACCCCTATCTTGTGCATGACAATAGCAAGTCTCTCTGGATATGAGATCACATTCTAGTGGTCTGTGTAAAAATGTTTTAAATGAATAAATAAAAGATTGGATGCCTGCGTCAATTCAGCGTAGTTTTCTGGCTTGGCTCCTGGAGCAGGCAGGAGAGGGCGGGTGAAAAGGGGGAGGTGCAACAGTGACACAAAAGTCTTAGCAGCTACGTACTTCCTCAGTACAGCAGAGCTTTCTTAATGGACCTATATCCATGTTGCTTCCGGGAGGCATATCTATTGAGCATCCATCCCGATCTGTTTGCACCAAGTTTGCGGGAAGACTATTTGATGTCTGCTGAATACAGGTCATTGACTGATGGATGTATATTGAGCATCCCTTTGTTTGGGCGGAAGCCCTATGTCATCAGGTCAAATAAGTATTATCATACACTTTCCAGTGAATTTTCCATGATTTTCCTTATTGCAAAAAGTCTGTGGTTTGCTTTCTGATGGGAGTGAACAGGTTTGTTGGGCAAAGGTACCAATTTGGCCAAGTTCAGAGATAACAAAGGGGGCGGGTATCCCAGCATCACCTCTATCCAGAAGGGGAGTCAAAATCAACCCCCTCTATCTTGTGATAAGGCAGCCTTGGGGACACCAAAGCAAGATGCTCACTTACGTGCTGAAGGAGGTGTCCCTCCGTTAGTCCCTTCTGTCCTCTCACTGCAAGAAAAACAAGGATTAGACACAGAAAAGGAAGAGCCACTCTTACTATGATGGGGAGGATGTGGAAAACGACAGGACAACATTGTGCATCTGTTGTGGGGATGAAAAAAGTTTACCAGCTTTGGTTTTCCAAGTTTCTAATGTTTCCAGGCTTAAATTCCATTCTCTACATTTCCACACTAATTCAAATTATTATTATTTAATTTTTTAAAGAAAAAAACAGCCTCATAACTATTTGCTACTTTAGTGTGAGCTTCTAATAAATAATTTTTTCTGTATGCAGTTTTGACTAACACAAACATTTTTGTAAGCAGTTTCCCTTAATATCATGCCTGCTTGCATGTTATTTTCCATAATGCATGCATTATTGTTCATATTGCTAGGCTGGCTCACAGTGTCACAAAATTCGGAGAAGTGTGAATTTCAAAGGATAGCTGTGTTTGAGTTCACGTATTGATTTGAGAAGTGCAAGTTAGTTAGTTTCTCATTAAAATGCAAACAAAGTTGAATTTCTTCTCCTTCCCCAGTGTGTTGTTTTGGGTGGTGCCTGGAAAAAGTAAGTGACAAAAGGATCCTGATCAGCAGAAAGGGCTGTCGACAATAAAAGTGGTTTTTGTTTGTTTGTTTTTTGCATTCAGTCTAATCTTATTGACACAGGAAGATATAATTCAAGTCAATAAATATTTCCAATAAAAGTATCTCATATAAGAGGCAGAGCATTTATACCACAAGAATCCTGAGACTGAGGAAAGGAGCAATATTTTAGTACATACATAAGAGAAGGCAATGTTAGGGGCTGTTTTATGATGCAAACTGATATACAGACGTACCTTGGAATTCAAGCGGAATCCGTTCCGAAAGTCCGTTTGACTTCCAAAACGTTCAACTTCCAGCTGCAGGAGTGTCCGGCAGCCAATCAGAAGTTGCGGAAGCCGTGCTGGACATTTGGCTTCCAAAAATCATTCAAAAATTGGAACACTTTAAGCATTACACCACAATGGCTCCTATCTCTATGGATCTGTATATTTATACCAATCCTCACCAGGGAAATGCCTGATCCACAGACTACCCTGCTTCCTCTGTCAATGAAGAAAAAAAAGAAAGCATCAGAACATGCAATGCCTGCCCCAGCCTCTTACCTAGGATTTTCTGTGTCGGAGCTTCGCATCAGGGCACTCTGCACCAGTCCTGTGAGGCTGGCAATCTGCTTCTCCATGGCTTCCATGCGGTCCCTTGGGGGGGGGGCGAGGAGGAAAAAAGGACCTGGTGAGACATGAGCTTCTTGCCCTCTTTCCTCTCTGCCTAGCTATGGAGTGGAGAACCTTTTTCATCCTCTGGGGCACATGCCAATCATGGGTTAGCCAGAGGCAAAAGTGGACGCAGCAACTCATGTGAATTTTACCTTTGTATAGTAGGCTAATTTTTTCATACTTGCACATTCCTCTCTATTCTCCACCCAGGCAAGAAAGACACATTATCAGAGTTCAAGGACACATTCCAGTCAGGCAAAAACACTCAAGGAGGGTGAAAGGGAAGGTTGGTGGGTGGCATCACTGGGAAAGGTGGGAGGCCTGGAGAGAGTCTCAAGGGCGATAGCAAGAGGCCTGGAGTCCACATTCTGCTCCCAGCCTTCAGGTTTCCCATCCCTAGCCTAGTGCTGTGGCAGTATGAGCAAACATGCTAGTTTATAATTATTATCTGTTTTTATAAACTCTTCTATCCTGCCTGTCTCTCAGCTTACAATATAAAGAAGTCAAAAACGTTAAATTCACCACAGCGGAATATATATTAGTAAAGTAACAACAAAATGCCAGGAAAACCATTGGAAAGTCTGCATTAAAAAGAAAGCAGCACCTGAGCAAACTCAATTTATCATCCTCCATAATGCCCCCCGGAAGAGAGGCGTCTTCACAATTCAGTGAAAACCGAGGAGCAACGGAGCAAAACAATGGAGCTTCCCGAGGACATGTGAGAAATGTAAGAACATTAAGAGCAGCCCTGCTGAAATCCATCCAGTTCAGCATCCTGTTTTTGACAGCAACCCAGCCAGGTGCTTTTGGGAAGGCCATACCCAGGGTAAATAGGACAAAGCATCAAGGGTGTTCTGTAAACCTGCTTTCCTTGGATGGAAGCCTGGCCTCCAGCAAGCCTCCATTGAATTGGCTGCTGTGGAGAACAGGAAATAAGCCATTTATGAGGTTGGGGGGGGGATCCTCAATTCTGGAAGAGAATCAAACACCAACCCCCAACCTGTTGGTGTGAGTGGTTGTTGTACCAGTAAAAACTGCCTATCCTATTGAGGTCAGCGCAACTTGGCCAAGATAAGGCAGCTAGCCCTTTTCTTTTCGGGGGCCATAGCTCTTGAAAAAGAGGTAGGACAGGTGTGGGGAATCTTTGCCCCCCCCAGATGTTGTTGAACTACAGCTCCCATAATCCTCAGGCACTGAGTGAGCTATATTTCAGAAATATCTGGAGGGACAAAGGTTCCTCATACCTAAGATAAGGCTTACCTCATAAAGGGGAAAGGCAACCCCCCCCCCCATAAAACAGGTCTATTTGCACCAAATCTGGTGGAAAATGCAGTTTGTTTGGATTTATTTTGGCTACTCTCTCCCTCAAAATGTGTATCCCAGAGGCATTCCTCCGTCAGCATTCCTTGAAGGTTCTGTACTGAGGAGAAATTTCTCTCTCACACACTTTCTGGTACATTAATTTCTGACAGGTCTGTGCTTGCCATTCCTTTGACCTCTCTCCTGCTCGGCTTTCACTCTCCCCCGCCATCCATCTCCCCCCAACCCGCCCTCTCTTGCTGATTCTAATCATTTCTTCCTTTCTATCTTTTGGTTATCCTAATGAGCTCTGTTCCTACCATTCCCCCTGACAACTCTACTGACAACTCAGGAACCATCCTTGCTGTAGAGATTTAGACACGGGGAGATTGAACATCAGATAAGGTACCGTTTTCTTTTGCTAATCTAATTTGCCTGAAGACATCTTCTGCCTGCCCCCCAAAAAAGAGAACAGGAGGAGGAAGACACCGGCAAGTTCCAAAGGGTGGGAGAGAAAGGGGATGGATGGAGAGCTAGAGTGGCAGGGAATACACACAACCATTCCAACTATTTGGGATGAAAGCAGCTGGTTCCCCTGCCCTGCTGGTTCCCCAGCCCTACTGAGATATTGCTTTTCTGCAGTCAGGTGGAAGTGGGATTAAAATGGCAGCCACGAAGCATGTAATACAATGCTCTTTTATCCAGCGATGCCTTTCTCCATGGCTAGCTAAGATTCTTTTGTAGCATTTATCCAGAAGACAGTCTCATTCAACAAAGGTCCTTCCTAAGTTTTCTGTTTGCATGTTCTGCTCATTATACTTATTGTGATTGGGAGATCAGTGAGTGACTGCCCCTTAATTGCCCCATGAGCAGCAGTGGTACCTTCAGGGCGTAACTTTGGGGCAGATGTCCAGGGCCCCCACTCAACAGAATGAACAAGAGGGTCCCCAAATGAAGCAGGGCTGCCTTACAACCAATGTCCCTGCTGTACCATTAAAACCATTAACCCAGTTACCTGAATGTACCACTGGCAGGCAATGAACTAAAAAGCAGATGTTTGGGAGAGGGATGGCTAGAGGAGGTAAACACTTGAGAGGAGAAAGGAGAGGGGGCAAACTGAAGAAAGGAAGGATCAATGAGAAAGAAAGACTGGAAAAAGCAGTTAGACGGGGCCTAGAGTCAGGAGGATTGTGCGTGGTTGTCAGGAAAGAAGAAGAAAGGCAATTTTTGGAATCTGGGTAGAAAAAACAAGGCAGGGAATCACGGAGGTCAAATAAGTAGGTGTACCGCTGTGCATGCAGTAAATCCAACGTAACTCGTCAAAACCTCTCAGGACAATAGCAATTTTGCACAGTGCCAAAATCTGCTCCAAAGCAGCAGGCTCTGCATTTAAATGTTGAAACTCAGAAAATACTTATCAAGGTGCCAGTCACCTTAAGAATGGTACTGGTGGTCACCAGGAAGTGACAGCCTCCCATCTTACCTTGTCTCCGTATCCTTGGCAGGCACAGGTGAGCTGAACCCAGAAAGGGGGCGTTCCCCAGGTCCAGGGAAGAGCTCTGGGGGCCCTGAAGAGCTGGGGTTCCTTGGCTTGTTGACAGGGCTTTCCATGAAGACCGAGGAGCAAGAGTCTTTGCGGAAGGTCTGGCGGACTGGAGAGGAACGGCTTGGGGGCCCGGAGTAAGGGCTGTGGGGGCTTTGGCTCTGCTGAACGTCTACCAGCCGGCCGTCGGCAATTTTCTGCGGCGATGAAGGGGGCAAGCGGAAGCCCATCCCCGGACCGTAGGTGTCGCTGTAGATCTGTGCGTTGGGCTTATACAAGCTGTCTTCCAGTTCGGACTGCAGGGCAGCAGCTGAGTAGGTGCTGAGGGAGCGGACAGAGCCCCGCTTGTAGAGGCCCCCTGGGTAGGCAAAGGGGTCCCCCATCCCAGCCAGGGACTGCGTGGACGTGATGCTCAGGCGCCCCTCGTGCACCATGCTGTAGGGGTCGGCATACAGGCCCTCGTTCTTCACAAGCACCATGTTCTTCCCGGCCATGTCTTCGTCTGGCTTGACGTCCCGGCGTTCCAGGATAGCGCTTGGGCTCGGCGAGACCCCCTGGGCTGGAGGAAGGTTGGAGAGACGCTCGCCATGGTGCACGGGGCTCCCGGCGTAGGAAGGCGGGCGGCCACCGCTGTAGGACATGCGGGAGCGGGACGGCGAAGACGACTGGAGCACTGGTGGAGGCGATCCAGAGGTGAGGTGAGAAGCAGGTGACATGCTGTTTAGGCGCCGGGTGGGAGAGGACTCCCTGGAAGTGTAGACCATCTCTCTCTGGGAGAATAAGTGATCAGACAGTGAGAATGTTATAAACTCTGCCCTCCTTTACACACGGGGCCCAGGTCAAAAGTTGCAAGGAAAAGGTGGGAAGAATAAAGCTGAATGAAAACCAGACCCATCACTCATTCCTGTCACCAACTCACACAAACAGAAGATGGAAGTGGTAAAACCAGACCCTACCACTTCAGACTGCAGCAGGGTGGGGGGTGTACAGGATGCCTCCCCGTGAGAAAAAGCCGGTATGTACAAATTTGGCTTACCAGAGAAAAGGCTAGACCAAAACCATTCTCCCTGGCTTAACTGATTTCTATCTGGAATGAATTTCATACACCAGAGAACATTAAATAATGTAATCTCCCATTTGTGGTAAAAAGTGGTAAAATCCTAGAACCAGTTCACCACTTTGATTGCAGTGTGAACTAGGCCTATCGGTGGCACTAATCTTCTCTGATACCTCAAATTCTGCATCAAGAGCTGAATTCCGCAACATGAATGCATTATGAAGAACAAATATATTGCTTTAACTTTTTATTCACTACTCCCATAAATCTCCTGCTGTGATAGTGATGCTAAAAAGTTTTTTCCTGGCCCCACAATTCCCCCAACCCAATTTGTCAATATTAAAACAAAAATATTGTTTGTTTTTTTATTGACTGCTTCTATAGGCCTCTCAATGTGATATTGTGATGCCAAATGTTTTTTGTGAAACCCACTCCCATTGCAAATGTGATACACACACACACACACACAAATTGGTCACACCCACTTTTACATGGGGCTCTCAAAGGTTTGACCACAGGTAAATGCAACGCTTGGCCTGAAAAGCGATAGACAACCCTGACACAGACAGTGTAAAAGAACATATCCTAGGCATCTGCAGAACGGCTTCGTTTGCAAGGTGACCATCATCTGGACTGTGTTCAATGGGCAGGCGTTGCTGAAATGTTCCTTAGTAATCTGCCCCCCCACACCTACCACCGCACTAACATCCAGTGAAGACAAAAACAGTTCAGGGGCCTTACTGCAGCCCACTGTCTTACCCTCAGGTCTCCATTGGTGATGTGGGATCCGGGGAAGGAAGCATAAAGGGGCTCTTTCCGGTAGATTTTGATAATGCTCCTATCCTGGATATCCCTGCAAGAACAAAGGCATTAATGGAACAAATGAATGGCAGCCTTGGTTATTATTCCAAGGGCCAGACTATGCATGGCCATGATGGCAGCAGTGACTGCTGCACAGAGGCAGCCTGATGACATCATTGGCCCACACCACAGCTGCTGGAGACTACTGGGCAGGAGTCCTCCACTTCCTCAATACTGAGGATTTACACATCTCAATAGTGAGGATTTTTTTGCAGTAACCTGCTGTTGGGTTTAGATGTGTGAGTTTGTCTGTACAATTCCACCTCTGGCTTTTGCACACGGATTCTGTGCTCTTGCTAATTAAGTATGGGGCTGAAATCGGAACACTATCATCAAGAGAATGCTTGGTTAAGTGGTATGAAGCGATCTGGCAGACAGCTATGTTGGAAAAGCTAACATGGAAACTGTGGGTAGCAAGAAAAGAAAAATGGTAACTTCTACACAGTATGGGGCAATTTTATTGAACACACAGGTAGTGAGGCACATGGGGGAGTAGTGTTTGGGGTGGGTAACATAGTTTGGAATACTTGAAATATACATTTTACACCTTTCAAATTGTTGCAGATATAATGTATTCCTTCCTTTTAATGAGATTTAAGCACATGATGTGTTATTTTATGGTTTTAGAAATTATGAAAATGTTTGAAATATATGCTGTGGCAAACTTCCTTCCTTCCTTCCTTCCTTCCTTCCTTCCTTTCTTTCTTTCTTCTTCTTCTTTCTTTCTTTCTTTCTTTCTTTCTTTCTTTCTTTCTTTCTTTCTTTCTTTCTTTCTGAAAGAATGCTGCCAGACTCCAAATGGGAGGTGGGGTTTGTGGCCCCAAAGCATACCTCTAAAGCACGCACAACCCTAAATCCTGGAAATGGCAGTTTGTTAAGGATTCTGGGAATTGCAGCTCTGTGCGGGGTCAACTAAAGTTCCCAGGATTCTTGGGGTGGGGAATGTGCTTTAAACATGTTTTAAAGGTATGATGTGTGTACACAGTCAGAGAGTCTATCCAAGGGCAGAAATTTGACTGCTCTCTGACCTATTGAAATGGCTTAGATGGGATATGTTAGACCAAGGTGGGGAAACCCTTGCAGGTCGAAGGACTGTGTTCCCTCATGTACCATCTTCTGAGAGGGCTGCATGCCTGTGGTGGGCAGGGGCAGACAAAAGTTGCATTCCATCTGCACAAAAGCCAGGTGTTTTTATACGGCTCCCAACACACACATACCCATCTTTTCATCCTCTGCCCTGGCAAGTAAGAGGCATTATCACAGTTCAATGACATCATCCGGCCAGGCAAAGCACCTGAGGAGGGTGTGGAGTGTGGTCTGAGAGCAGCCCTGAGAGCTTGACCAAGAGGCCTGGAGGGTGGCATTCAACCCATGAGCCAGAGGTTCTGCACCCCCGTGCTAAGAGGTTTCTGAAGAGGGTGATAAAGCAGCAATAACTAGGGAAGCACTGCAGTATAGGTGTCTCAATAATTATGCACAATGCAAAGATAATTGTTTTCTTTTTCCCTTCTCCCTTTCTCAGAATAGCAAGACTCTGGGTCAACCAATTAAATTGACTGGCAGTCGATTATGGACGGACAAAAGAAGCACTTCTCCACATAGCACACCATTAATTAACAGGCTGGATTGGCTGCCACAAGGCGTGGTGATGGCCACTGGCTTAGATGGCTTTATAAAAAGATTCACAGAGGACAGTTTTATGAGCGTCTATTAGCCCTAACAACTAAATAAATAGAGCCTCCAAGTTCAGAGGCAGTAGACATCTGAACAGCAGGCGCTGGGGGCAAGCAATTAGGGAGGTCTGTTCCTTTCATGCCCTGTTTGTGAGCTAGCTGTCCCAGAGGCAACTAGCTGTCCACTGTTGGAGACTGGATGCTGGGCTAGGTAGTTTGAGCCAGCCAGGTCCCTAGTATTCTTAATCCCTTGAGCAGGAAGAAAGAGAAGACCACTGCTGAATGCGATGGCAAACAGGTCTCTCTTTAGTTGCACCACTTTTGAAAAAGAATATCTTATTGAAAGATTTTTATAGCTCTATAACAAATAATACATTTTCCCCTCCTGGCCCTAAGCGTGCTACTTCCTTCCTTCTGCTCAATCTATTACTCACACAGACTGTGATCCTAACCATATCTACTCAGAAGTAAGTCTCATTGAATTCAATGGGGTGAACTCCCAGTTAGGTGAGGCTAGGACTTCAGCCTTATTTGCCAACTACATTTCTTATATTGCCCATTAGAAAGAAAGAAAGAAAGAAAGAAAGAAAGAAAGAAAGAAAGAAAGAAAGAAAGAGAGAGGTTCTCTGGGTGGTTTATAGTAAAAATGTTAAATTTGCTCCCACGGGGTGTACTGATGGCCACTGACTTAGATTACTTTACCTTAGTTCCCAAATGTCTTTGTTGTCAAACAAATTGGCTCCCGAATGCCGCAAACCTGGAAGTAAGTGTTCCAGTTTGCGAACATTTTCCGGAAGCTGAACGTCCGATGTGGCTTCCGCTTGAGTGCAGGAAGCTCCTGCAGCCAATCGGAAGTGCCTAGGTTTTCGAATGGTTCCAGGAGTCAAACGGACTCCTGGAACAGATTAAGTTCGAGAACCAAGGCACCACTGTACCACTTAATGTACAGGTGATTTCCAAGTGGTTTACAAAACATAAATACCAATTGCACAATGAATAACAATTCAAAATACGTTTAAAAGATGACCGCACAGATTCATGGAGGATAAGGCTATCAATGGCTACTAGCTATTATGGCCTACTTCCACTGTCTGATACAGGATGCTAGGAAGGCCAGTTGTTTGGAGTCACAGGTGGGGAGAATGCTGTTGTGATTGTGCTCTGCTTCTGGGTTTCCCATAGGAGCATCTGGTTAGCCACTGTGAGAACAGGATGCTGGACTTGTTGAACCTTTGGTCCAGCTGGGCTCTTCTTATGTTCCTATGCTTGTAGAGGACTTCTTCCCTACTCCTCCTGCTCCTCCTTCCATCACTGCATTCACCCACCTCTTCCCACCCTCCTCCATCTTCCTCTAGGCTTCCCATGTCCCAATTAAATTAGGCCAGTGGCCTCATTTGGCCCTTAAAGCCGTAAGTTGCCCACTCTTGATTTAAAGATTCATACAAGCACAGTGAATGAAAAGAAAAGCACAGTATCAGGAGGGAGGGAAATAGCAGACTGGTCATATACCGTATTTTTCGCTCTATAACACGCACCTGACCATAACACGCACATCGTTTTTAGAGGAGGAAAACAAGGGAAAAAACATTCTGAATGAAAAAGTGGATGTATCATTTTTGTGCTTCATGCTGTGGCCACAGACATGTGATCTGATGGTGAATTTGGGGTGACCCAATGCAAAGATCCTGAGGATCCATGTAGATCCATGCTTTTTAACCACGTTTTTACACCATTGCAGCCCCAGGCAACAGTGGGTGTGTGATTTTTGGGGGGCAGGCTGTAGCCATGGACATGCTATGTGATCTGATGGTGAATTTGGGGTGACCCAATGCAAAGATCCTGAGGATCCATGTGGATCCATGCTTTTTAACCACGTTTTTGCACCATTGCAGCCCCAGGCAACAGTGGGTGCGTGATTTTTGGGGGGTAGGCTGTAGCCATGGACATGCTATGTGATCTGATGGTGAATTTGGGGTGACCCAATGCAAAGATTCTGAGGATCCATGTGGATCCATGCTTTTTAACCACGTTTTTGCACCATTGCAGCCCCAGGCAACAGTGGGTGCGTGATTTTTGGGGGGCAAGCTGTAGCCATGGACATGCTATGTGATCTGATGGTGAATTTGGGGTGACCCAATGCAAAGATTCTGAGGATCCATGTGGATCCATGCTTTTTAACCACGTTTTTGCACCATTGCAGCCCCAGGCAACAGTGGGTGCGTGATTTTTGGGGGGCAGGCTGTAGCCATGGACATGCTATGTGATCTGATGGTGAATTTGGGGTGACCCAATGCAAAGATCCTGAGGATCCATGTGGATCTATGCTTTGTAACCACATTTTAAGTGGGGAGGGAAGGAAAAACAAAGAAGGGAAAAGGAGCATGAGAGGGGTGTGCAGAGAAGCAGCTGGCTAAGAATGCAGGAGAGGGATTTAACGGGAGGGAGGAAAGAAAGGCAAAAGTTTTCCCCCACCCAAGCACCCAAACCAGCCAGCGCTCTCTCTCTCTCTCTCTCCCCCACCTGCATGTTGCCTGCTAGTCCCTAGACGCAGCACCGGAGCACAGAGAGGAATTAGAAGGAACGACTGCTTTCCCCTCTGCTTGCCTGGAGGGGAGGGGCTTTCCCTGCTCTTTGTTCCGTTTGAGCAAACACAGCAAGGAAACAGAGGAGGGTGGGCAGTAAGACCCTGAGGCAGAATGCAGGAAAGCAGCCACTTCCTCTTTTCAGGTTTCCCTTCTCCGTGACTCGAGATTTGATTTTTGTCTGATTTTTTGGCTCCAGGGACCACACATTCGCTCCATAACACGCACAGACATTTCCCCTTCCTTTTTAGGAGAAAAAATCTGCGTGTTATAGAGGGAAAAATATGGTAGTCCTCTACTTGGTAGTCAATGTCACGCTTCCTCCAAGCATTTAGTAGTGCCTCCAGCAAGGCACTGCTCTCACCTGACATCCTCCAGCTCATAGAAGACGTTACGGGATTCGTCCTTGATCAGGATGGCAGTGTTGGGGGACTTGAGCATGCCCATTGTCAGCTTCTGAGGAAACATGTGGACAATAAGGGCATGCAGAGTGTCCATGCTGCTGATTTCGTGGGTGATGTGAACCCGTCTTGTTTCATCCCCAAACTGCAGGAAAAGGACACCTAGGAAAATAGGAAATGGTGTGTGAGAGAGACAGAGGAGAATGGGAAACAGGTCAAGAAATGCAGATTATCAGTTAAAACAACTAATGCTAGCAGAAAGGAAAGCTTCTGGGTTGCAAAAGACTCTTCTTCAGGTGGCAAAGTGTTAGCAGAAAGAGAGTCGCAGAGTCAGAATGAGAAAATCATCTACTCACAAATGTGAACCCCACACCAACTGAAATCTCTTGGGGGGGGGCTACTGAATGTTTCATTCATCTCAAAAGTGCATTCAGTGGCCACCTGTAGAAGACATCAGACAGTAAAACTCTGATATTTCTACTAAAGAACTGGGCCTTTCCTCATCTCTCCTTCAGAAATCTGGATAGCTCAGCTGGTTAAAATGTAGTGCTCATAATGCCACGGTTGCAAGTTTGATCCCTGTGTGGGGCAGCTACATGCTCCTGCATTGCAGGGAGTTGGACTAGATAATCCATGGGGTGTATTCTTATTCTTATTCTTATTCTTTTCTATTCTTCTGCTTCAGAAACAACAACAAAATTCCCAAAGGAGTGAGTAGTAATTGTGTTACTTTGTTGCCACAAAACCAACAAAGGGTTATAGCTAACCAAGGTCTACTCAGAGTAAACCCATTACAATTAATAGCTCTAAGTTAGTCATGTCCATTAATTTCAACGGGTCCACTCTGAGTATGACTAACACTGGATACAACCCAAAGAGTCTTGTAGCTCCTCAAAGACTAACACATTTATTATGATGTAATAATAGGCTTTTGGGGACCAGAGTCCACTTCCTCAGATGCATGGGAAGGTATATATTGGTAGGCATATATAAACATAGGAACAGAGCAGGTACGAAGAACCTGGTGTTGGACTACAGCTCCCATCATCCCTGACCACTGGCCATGCTAGGTGGGGCTGATGGGAATAGGAGTCTAACAATATATCTGAAAGGCCACAGGTTCCCCATCCCTGGTGTAAAGAGAGAGAGAAAGAGAACAAAAGAAAAAGCAGTATGGCCAGAGGAAAACGAAAACGCAAGAACACAGACCGTGATAATTAAGTTACAGCTCAAACGTAAAAAATAATTACAGTGATCACTCACTAAGCAGTGCTGATGATAATAAACATCTTGGCATTGGGTTTCTATTTGGTTGGGCGTATGTAAGGGAGTAGTTAGAGGAATGATTCCCTGCTGGTATCAGTTCAAAAAAGAGCCCTGAATGGGCTTTTCCAAATATGCTTGTAATTTTTATTTCTCTCTTTATTTAGAAATGTTTCCCGTCAATCACCTTGAGTTAATTTGTTGAGCGAGCGATAATTTGTAATATAAGCAAAAACAAGCAAGTAATTACTATAGGAGTAGTACTAATAGTAGTAGCGGTAACAGTGGTATTTCCATGCCACCCCATAGCCAACTATCTGGGTGGCATATATAAAAATGGTTAAGATAAAAATATGGACCAGGAGTTGCTGGCCTCCGGCATCCCTGACCATTCACCAAGCTGGCTAGAGCTGACGGGAGTTTCAACTTCTGCATGGCAACATAATGGGAACCCCAGGTATGAACTGTAAAAAGACTAGCTTCAGTTATGCATAGAAGCAGAGACTATGCGATTAAACTGTACACAAACACAGGTCTTTAAAAAGAAGCCAAAACCTCAAAATCTGTTGTTGTTGTTTTCAAAGGTACACAGTCTGCTAAACTTCACCAACCTGGTACCCTCCAAAAATTTGGGGGCTACAACTCCTATCAGCCCCAACCAGCATGGGATTTGTAGTTCAAAATAAATGGAAGGCACCAAGTTAGCAAAGACCGTGTGCCACTAACCTGAGGAATTGCGGTTGTCCTATCAGCCAGCCCTTGGGACTGTGGCTTCTGTTGCTGAATTTCAGGTCAGCTCTGAGTAAGAGCTCCCTCATTCAGGATTTGATTATGGATGAGGAGGACCATCAAGTCTGTGTCACTGAGACCTGGTTGGGTGAGCAGGGCAGAGTTGGTCGCATCCAGTTGTGCCCACCTGGGTTTTTGGTGCGGCATCAGGGCAGGACTTGAAGATTGGGGAGGGAGAGTTGATGTAGTTTATAGAGATTCTATTTCTCTGTCCAGTTGCATAGAAGGTATATAATGCTCCTGGCACTGGGCAATCGGGACATATTAGGGATTCTGTTGGTTTACCACCCATCTGGCTGCCCATAAGTATGAGCTGACAGAGCTAGTTTTGGAGGCAATGTTGAAGATTCCCAGACTGATGGTTCTGGGGGACTTCAACATCCATGCCATGGCTCTGGGGTGGCTCAGGACTTCATGACTGCCATGAAAACCATGGAGCTGTTCCAACATGTCACAGGACTTGTGGCAGGCCACACTCTGGGCCTTGTTTTCTCAAATGGGCAGGAAGAGGGGGATCTGAAAGTGGGGGGTATTGACACCAGTCCCTTGTCATGGTCACATCACTTCCTGTTGAGATTTAAGCTTTCGGTACCTTTTACCCTCTGCAGCCACAAAAGGTACTTGGAGCAAAATAGCTTCAACTGCAGGTACCCCTGAGCCCCACAACAGAAGCAACAAGGGTGACAAAAGTCGGCTTTCTAAACAATGAGATGTGTCTAAAATCAGGATACATCTCCCCTAACTGGAGATGCTTGAGAAACAGTTCTTACCTGGAGACCGGAGTTTTGTTTGGCTGGTGGAACGGGACAAAGGCAAGCTTTGCCGGAACCGGTTCATCCTGTTAAACCCAATGGGCAGCTCAGCTTCAGACATGGTTTCCAGAGACTCGGCAGAAGCAAAGGAGAGTTTGGCTTGATCGGCCAGGCCAGGCTGAGAGCCCTGTGAGTGCCGGGAGCTTCGGGTCTGAAAGGTAAAAGAAGAGAGACAGAGCAACATGATTATGGGGAGCAAAGTGTTCTTTTTCTAGAAATGTGGCATTGAACAGATTTCACACGTGTCACCTCTTCCCAGTCACCTTTTTTAAAAAGGCATTTTTGATCATGAAGATATTTCGTGTGCCATGAAACGCAGCAGCGGAAAACATCCCTACCTAAATATTTTTTTCTGCAATATATATATATATATATATATATATATATACACACACACACACACACACACACACATATATACATATCAACGCCCAAACATATCTGTCCTAATCTCTGGCAATTGATATAGGACTCAAAGTATAGCTACAAGCTTCAACTGGTTTAGTGTAGGTAGATTATTAGTCAACTAACAATCCAGTTACCTCACTGATAGGGGTTGATTTTAACTTGGGAACATTTCATTTCATGTAGCTTTGCATTAGCAGCATGCCTGTTTAATTTTTTAGGCTATTTTTGGTTCTGGTGCATTGCTGCAATTATTACAGTGGAACAGAAACTGAAAAAGGATATATTGACTGTGGCGATTCCTTCTTACGACGAGAGCTGCGGTGTTAGAAATAAAGAAATTATTGTGCTGACTTCAGTATCTTTAAAAAACAAACAAAACCCCCAAACATAAAGCCAAACCCTATAATGAGGTTTTGCATGGTGTAAAATTTATATAAATTTAATCAATTATATGACTGGTCTATAAAAAACCCCACAGATGATTAATCAAATAGAGATTCATTAATTGGTAAACAGCCCTTGCTGGAATGAACTCCTGCCTCATGGAGGGAGTCCATCTCAATTAATCTAGTCAAGTGTTCATCCAATTTGCTCTTAATGATACAAGGTGATGAAAATTACACAGACACACACAAACACACACTCTTTTTGGCAACCTGTTCCAGTGCTCCATCGACCATACAGTTAGCTTGAGCCTACATTCAGCACACTCTCATTTCTTGCCTTTCTGTGCCCTTCTCATCCCAGTAACTTCCTTCTTCCCATTTACGTTGCCTTTCTAATCTGTTCAAGGTGGTTTGTGTCCCCAGGCATAGGGACGCGAGCTTATGGGAGCAAAAGACGAGACACAGAGACCAGGGCTAGGCTAAAACATGACCACTATAGTGGAGGTTTGGGTGAGGCATTGGGACAAGGATCCTGATGTCAGACAGCTCGCTTGCTGACCAAGGTCTCTCTCACACACCCAGCCCACTGACTGGGAGTTTTGGGGTGTTAGGTGTGGCCACCTCGGTGTGGGCCATTCCAGTGGGCCGCTGTCTGCAGCATGGGCGAAAGTCAGCTAGCCTCGGGCCCCTGAAGCTGAGCTGAGGATTTAGAGCTGCTCCACCCAAGACTCCTTATAGAGATCCCCTTACTTTTTTGTGGATCCTGGCCCATCGCCCTGCCATGCCAGCACCAAAAGTTATGATACTCCAGTCCTGAATAACTGTGATTGGCTCCTGTCCAGTCGGCCCATCTATGGTGCTGCACCATCAGAACAAAGGGGACCTGCCACAGATGACGACAAGTGGGCAGAGCCCACATGCCGAAAGAGACAGGTTGGAACATTTACTTGAGTGCAGACCTATTCTGCTGGTGGAGAGGACTCCAGCCCATCACAACATGGCACACAGGACCCTTTCCTTGCAAGCATTTAAGAACAGACCAATGGCCCACCTGGGCCAGCATCCTGTCTCGTACAGTGACCAAACAGATGTCTCTGGGCAGCCCCAAAGCAGGGCACAAAGGCAAGAGCCCTTTCCCCTTGTTGCTCCTCAGGAAGAAGGTATTCAGCCCCTGCATCTGAGCCTGGAGATTGCATATATCCATCATGACTAGTATCTATTGATACTAGGCCTCTCCTCCACTGATTTGTTTGAAACTAAGCTAGAGGCCATGGCTACACCTAGTAGCAGCAAATTCCACAAATTAATGGAATGCAGCAGGCAAGCCATTTTTCATTTCTAAGGCAATAGTAGATAGAGGAGGGCAGTTCCATCCCTCATCAGTGTCTTGTGGTTTCAAGGTAGCTTGCACCTTAAAACATCTGACTGGCAGGGGAGGAGCTGCTGCTGAGCGGATATATTTGCAAGCAAGTGAACCATCACGTTATCTCTAGCTTAGGACACTGAAATCCTACCAAAGCGTCTGAAGTTGTGACAAACATTGCAGAGGAACTGAGCCCCCCACCCCAATTCAGAAAAGAGGGAGGCTCAGAGTACCACAACTACATTTTCAACCTGTATCTGTATGTAGAACCATAGCAGCACTTTGAAGCTGTTACGCTACAGAAGAAATGGGGAGCCTGCAGAAATTTAATTCCCACCATTCCTGGCCATTAGCCATGTTGGCTTGGACTGATGGAGCCCTATGACATCTGGAGAGTCATCGGTTCCTCATCCCTGTACTTCAGGCACTGGCTGGTCACTCTGTTGAGCTGCTACCTCCTCCTCCTTTTAGGGAAAAAAACACCTTGCAGATATTTGTCTAAAGTGCAAGGAGTGTGCCCCACGGGGATGCAGGGCACTTTCTCACCCAGCAGCAGAAGGTGGTGACAGAGGCACCAAGGGTCAGGACAGGTGGACTTCCATACCCCGGGACCAGAGCCATTGCTTGCAAAAGCCTTGTTGGTCCTGGGACTCATTTCTTTCCTGACCACACTATCGATAACACCAGGAAAGGCAGAATTAGCAGACAGACAAGTCAGATAACCTTTGAAGTTGCAGGAGGCTGGCTATCCATTATGCCCGGGGAAACAGCTCCGGGGAGACATAAAGGGGCCCATTGTGATGCTGGAAGGGAAGCGCGATAGAGGTTTATGGCTGCACGGAACAGGCAAAAGTAATGGGCATGGAGTCCCAGCAGTAAAGAACAGTAATATGCCAAGAGTCCCATTTCGCGTGAATGACCGTATATCTTCCCGGTACGAAGATGCCATTTCCACAGGGGGGTCGCGAGGGGGTAGAGCAATGCTGCGTGCAACACACGCTAAAACAGCATGCTGGTTTAGTAAAAGATATCATGTTCTTTGCTGACTCTAGGCCAGTTGATGCAATCAGTAAAATCGGGATGCAAAACTATTTTCTGGACAGAACCACTCCAGCCTGTAAGTGTGGAGGTTGCTTGTATAGAAGTGTTCCAGTTACAGGTGAAGAGGCAGGGGAGCCCTCAGTTAAATCCACAAGTTGCAGCCCTTAATCCCTAGTTAATATCCAACTCATGCCCACCCCCGCATATATGAAGGCCACTTGCCAGTAACTGCAGGAGGGCGCTTTTGTGCTCAGATCCTGCTTGTGGGCTTCCCAGAGGCATCTGGTTGGCCACTGTGAGAACAGGATGCTGGACAAGATGGGCCACTGGCCTGATCCAGAAGACCTCTTCTTGTGCTCTTTTGTAGCCTTATAAATATCAGAGGCGGATTTAGGGGAGCATGACCAGACTGGTAGCACAGAGCGTGGAGCCTTATAGGCACCCCAACTATTATTTAAAGTGGAGCACGAGAAGTGAGGGCACCGAATTTTGGCATTGCTCAGGGTGCTGCTGAAATTTGAGACCCCGCTGTAAATATGCTACCTAAAGGATAAAAAGGTAAAGGTACCCCTGCCCGTACAGGCCAGTCTTGACAGACTCTAGGGTTGTGCGCCCATCTCACTCAAGAGGCCGGGGGCCAGCGCTGTCCGGAGACACTTCCGGGTCACGTGGCCAGCGTGACATCGCTGCTCTGGCGAGCCAGAGCCGCACACGGAAACGCCGTTTACCTTCCTGCTAGTAAGCGGTCCCAATTATCTACTTGCACCCGGGAGTGCTTTCGAACTGCTAGGTTGGCAGGCGCTGGGACCGAACAACGGGAGCGCACCCCGCCGCAGGGATTCGAACCGCCGACCTTTCAATTGGCAAGCCCTAGGCGCTGAGGCTTTTACCCACAGCGCCACCCGCGTCCCGTACCTAAAGGATACAGCACAAAAAATAAGGGGGGTGCGCCTCCTCTGCCCCCCTAGTAATTTGAGTTCTACTGTTAATTCATAGAAGGACCGAAATTCGTACCCAACAGGCTAATTTGTATGGGCCAGTATCTTTATTTATTTTAAAGGGACCATTCAAACATTTGGTTGCCCACTGCAGCCTGAAGGTAAAACAGGGCCCTTAAATGCATTGTGTTGCTGACAGTATAAACTGCACTGGCAGGTTCAGGTTTTTGTTCTTCAGAAGAACACCCACAAGAGAAAGCAAATGGGAAAAGGTTGTGTGTAGCAGGTTTAAAGCCAAGAAGTCTAAGCTTCTCCAAAGGTAAATTTGAACACCATCTTAACCCTACAGTCCTTCTGGCTTTTAAAGCCATGCTATGCCTGGGCTTACTCTGCCCATTATAGAAACAGGGCACTGATTATCAGGACTGTATTTCACAATTCCTTGGGCTGCTTAAGTGCAGAAAGTGACTATGAGCACATAATTCAGCATCTTGAGAATCACATTTCCCCTTTAAAAAAAACAAGCTTCTAGTCCTATTTGTTTGTTTGAAAACTTTACGGCTACAAAGAGAAACAGTGGATGGAAAATGCCTAGTGGGATCTCAGTAGGGGGACTTTGGGCAATCAGGGTAATGGGGCTTTTGTCCACAGCCTGTTCCTTTAAAGTTCCTCTCGAGTAGTAAAAAAAGATTACTGGTCAAATTTATACAGGGCACAGAATTTATGTGCGCGCATATGCGTATACATAGGTGCACACATGATTTTTGTGTGTGGTTTTTTTTACTCTTCCTTGCTTATTTACAGCTTTGGATAAAACATGGACTCCTGGGTCTCCTGCACCACTTTAAACAGAAAAAGAGCATTAAAGGACAGCTTTGAAATCACTTCAAAGTGAACCACCACAAAAGTCTACGTGGTACGGCAGCTAAACAGATGATGTGTGTGTCTCTTTCTCTCTCTCTGTGTGTGCGCACTTATTCCAAGAGAGCTGTATTATGGCTCTGACTTGCCATTTTCCAGCTGCTTGTTCATATATCCCTGATGAGTCTGCTAGAGAGCATGCAGAGAGAATGCTCTGTGGCTCCACCCTAAGGCAGCTTGCACCAACAGTACCATTCACTTCAAAGCTGTTCGCATCAAGTAATTGTATCCTACTAGCTTGGTGCAGTCTCTAATTAAACTCAGATTCGAGAAATAGGACTCTTCTCTCCTCCCTGAGACCATCTGGGCCTATTTCCTTTAATATGGCCTAGGCATTTGTATTATTTAGTATACTTATATGCTGCTTCTGAGAACAGCTTATCGGGGGCTTTCATGCCATCTCCCACCCAGGCACCAACCAGGCTGGAATCTGCACCACTTTTTCACAGCAACAGCAAACAAAGGCTGTCAGATCATTCTCTGGCCCCTCAGGTGCTTTTTAAAACTGTAAATTATTTAAATACCGAGTGAACAAGAGCCGCACCGAAAAGCATTTCAGAACACTGACTCCCTGGATTTTGCAAGATTATACACAAGGCCTTTTACCATCTGTTGATTTTTTTTTTGTCCCCCCTCCCCACTGCAGATGTAGAACTTTAAGGTAGAAAAAGAGAAGGGAAAGGGAAAAGGAGTCAGAGTTATATTGTGGAGACTTGGATTATTTGTTTTATTTGATCATAATAAAAAAAATAACCGTTCCAAAGTAGTGAGTAACATTACCTATTTTTAAAGCATAACCTTGGCTAGGGAACTATATCACAAAATTCAAAGAAGCGCTTATTTAAAAAGATGGCCGTGTTTCAGATTTTGATTGTTTTGCAAAGTGTGAATTGGGACATTTAGGCAAACCTACCTAAGTTGGAATACAACTCCCATCAGCTACAATCAGAAAGATCAAAGATGGTAGAAGTTGTAGACCAACATCTGGAGCACCAGAGGTTCCTTGCTCCCTGCTTTGAAGGGTTGAATAGCTGCTCACACTAAGTAAAGAACTGGCATTCTGTTCAGGCACTCCCTATTTTCCATTGCAATTCTTTATGTCCCAGAGCTTTCTAGAAACAAAAACAGGCTTGGCAGGGATTTGTTTATTAATGTCCATATTTATAAATGCTTCATTCTCTGCTGGGCACATAGCACAACCTGATCTAGCTTATAAAACCAGATTTAGAACAGCTGTGAGAGGTCGGGTGGGCGGGAACCCACACAAGTCAATCTATTAAAACTCGCAATGTGATAAAAGAGCGATGAGCTCCTGCTGAACTAAAGCTCAGTTCTCCAAGTGTGAGAAAACTAGACTACTTGACGGATGGCTTGAAATAGTTTCCTGTTTAAAGAGCAAGTTATGGATCTATAGATGGTGCCACCTTCCATAGTATGTGTAGAATTTCTGTGGGCCAGGAGGCAGGGTCAGCATTAATGCTCTGCTCTCAATCTTTAGCCTGCTAATTGTCATTATACCGCTGTCCACATTTCTCAGAGAGTAACTACTCCTAGAGGGTCTCCCCGGACATCTTCCAGGGGTTAATCCTCCTCATGGTACCTTTTCAGACCCTTTGAATAATGCCATTTCTCATGTCTGAATGTAGCCCAGTTTCCGAACAGCCACACAAGCATTTCAAACACAAGATTTGCATCGGCAGGGAAGCTATTCAGCACCCAGAAGATGCAGCATTTGTGTGGCTCCATTTTATCTTTTAAAAACACACAAGCACACAACAAGAGAAGCTTTTTCTTGTCAGCAAATGCTAGCTGAGAACAAACAACTACTGGAATAAGCAAGCTGTGGCTGGCAGGGAGGAGGGACACTAATATTTTGAAACCAGATTTTAAAAGGAAAAGGAAAGGAAGAAGGGGAAAGAAATCAATATTGAAATGATAACAGCCATAATCATCGTTTAAATGAGGCATTAATTGGAGAGTTTAATTATTCCTGTGGGGTGGCACAGAAAATGTTCTCTCCGTAAATAATTTACCGTAAAATTGGCTGCAATTTTTCTGTCTCTCTCAGCGTTGTTGCCAACATGGAGCTTTGAAATTTCCCAACCTTCAAGGAACAGCTTGCATTAGGGGACTGAAATCCACAAAACTCCTTCACTGGTTTGGTTGGTATGGTTTGGTGTGGCATGAGATAGGCTCTGAACCTTGTTGGTTTCAGGGTGGGAGGAAAGATAGATTATGGAAAGATATATTATGGCTATATTGGGGAGCAGCCATAGCTCAGCAGTAGAGGACATGGTATACATGGAGAAAGGCCCCGGGTTCAGTCCTTTGCAGCAGTGGCTGGCACCCGCTGGAAGTGGTGGGCCAGAAGGCAGGGAGGCCAACAGTTGGTGGAGCCAAAGCCATCAACAGACAGAGCCAACTAATTCTAGTTTTGCCCCCACGATCCTTGCCATTGAGTTGAATAAAGGCAACACTGAGAGTAAGGAAGAGGAAGTTGATAGCCGATGCCACCCCCGAACAGGCTGTAAATAAGAAGATGGGCAAGCGAGGGCAGGCTGACGGCAGACTGAAGTTACGGGGATACTACTCCATTTGTCCTAATGGACAGGTCTCCAGACTCTCCACTGATCCCCTGGATGTCTCAGTAGGACTGGGAGACACCCTGTCACAAGTAGACAATACTGAGCTAGTTGGAATAATGGTCTGATTCGGTATAAGGCAGGTTCCCTAGCTTAGCTAGCTTCACACGTTACAACTGAGGCCTAGTTCAGACACTATCAAGCCAGTGCTCCAAGTTGCAACTGTATAAAGCAATTTTCCATGCTACATGTACACAACCGCCCAATTTGAATAATTATTCCCCTTGGAAAAAGTGGGAATTTTATTTATTTATTTAACAAAATGCATATACCACCTGACTCATACCCTCCAACATTTCTCCAATGAAAATAGGGACATCCTATTACATAGTAATTATAATAATTTTATTATTTATACCACGCCCATCTGACTGGGTTGCCCAAGCCACTCTGGGTGGCTTCCAACATACTGTATATGAAAACACAATTAAATATTTAAAAAACTTCTCTATACAGGGCTTCCTTCAGATATCTTCTAAAGGTTGTATAGTTACTTATCTCTTTGGCTCGGGAGTTGTATAACTCGCAAACGCTCCAACGTTTCTCTGATGAATGTAGGGACAGCCTACCATACCCCCCAACATTTGTCTGATGAAAATAGGGACGTCCTAAGGAAAAGCAGGACATTCTAGGATCAAATCAGAAACCGGGATGGTTTCTGTAAATCCAGGACTGTCCCTGGAAAACAGGGACACTTGGAGGGTCTGCTGACTGTAACAAATCCTGCATGTGGGGAGACGTGTGTGTGTGTGACAGTTTAAAAAGCAGTATTTAAAACATTCGAAAGATAATTAAAATCAACAGTAAACTAAAGAGAGGTTAAAACACAGGTCAACACTCTACACATCTAGACAGGCCTGCCTAACCAAAAACGCATTAAGTAGGCACTGAAATTAAGTATCTCAGGTTTGAAAGGCCTGTCAGAATAATACTGTTTTTAGAAGATGACTGAAGACGAGGCAAGGAGTCCCACAGGGCAGGGACTGCCTCAGTAAAGGCCTGGATCCTTTTAAAGGCCAGGGACATGTGGGACTCCAAATGGGTGCCCAAAATCTACCACTTGGAAGCAGCTGCCTCATTTTACCTCGTGTCCTTTGCAAACACAGGATAAAAATGGTCACCATGCAGATTGCAACTGTCAGCTCTGACTTTTAACCTGAGGCTTTCTGTCTTAGTGTCTTTATAAATACTTGATTCTGCCTTTGATCCCTTGGTTAAGCTGAAACCTTGCATACATCCTTCTCTTTGAAATAAATAAATAAATAACCCAGATATTTAAATTCAGGCATTTCCCAAAGGTATCTCCCATCATCAAACCATCTTCAAGATTATCTCTGAGCAGCTGTTTTTGAATCTGAGACAAAGCTTTGCCCGTCTACATCAGGCGAGCAATCTGGTTTTTTTCCTCCCCGTCTCCCTGATAGCTTACTTCATTGAGAAAAGAAAAACGAAGCAGCATAAAACTGACTGGATAAAGAAGGGGAAGAAGAGGGGGAAAGCTGATACAGCTGTATTTTGACAATGGTGTGGGGGGTTTTCAGCCAAAGAGCTGCCGTTGCTATGCTCTCAACTTGGTTGCTAAGGGGCCTGGCACACGTGCATGGCAAAATGTCAGGGTAGCTGACTTGATGGTACTTTCTCAAATCAGTGGAGGTTAATCTTTCACAGAATTGACATTGTTTCGGTTTTATCAGGTGGAACACTCAGGGGGGAAAAGCAAGGCTTAATTTATGCCAGAATTCAAAATAAATCAAGGCTTTTAGGCCCAGAGCTCTCCCCACCCCCGCTCCAACCTCCAAATGCCGGCCACAAAATACACCTCTTTCTGGATACTGATGGGGTTCCTTCTCATGTTACCTCAGCGGTGTGGGAACTGCTTCTTCGTGGCGATCCCACACTGCTGCAGTAAGCATCTGTATATTGAACCATGTGGGCAGGACCAATCGTGTGGGTCTCTCTCGCCTGATCCTCCTCCTCCTTCTTGGCTGGTCGATCAGGGCTATAGCCAGCCTTCCTTGCTAGATGGGGCTGCCACATTTCCAGGAGGGGCTTCAAAGAAATGAATGGAAAATCAGTTATATCCTCACAACCAACATGAAACATCTACAACTCTTGTCACCTGAGCTGAGTAAGAGCAATCGGCTTGAAAGTCCGGAGGCTTTTTGCTCACATCAATGCATTTACTCAACCCCCTAAAATGAAAAACAAACACACAGCTCCTTCAAGCACCCTGCCATGCTCAGTCACAGTATCCAAAAGTGGACTCCCAGACCACATTGATAGGAGGGTGGTGATCTTGAAAAAAATCCACCCAGAGCTAAGTTTGAGAGGGCAGAGTAGGCTCAGGTGAATGGAGTTTGAAGCCATGACCATTTCTGGGGGACAAATTTGGGGTGAGAAAAACAGTGGTAGTTAAATACTTAAATTTGCCCATTCTCAAAACAAGTTCACATTCTTTAAATTGAAGCTGCCAGATACAGTGGTACCTCGGGTTACATATGCTTCAGGTTACACACTCCGCTAACCCAGAAATAGTGCTTCAGGTTAAGAACTTTGCTTCAGGATAAGAACAGAAATAGTGCTCCGGCGGCGCAGCAGCAGCAGGAGGCCCCATTAGCTAAAGTGGTGCTTCAGGTTAAGAATAGTTTTACATTAAGAACGGACCTCCGGAACAAATTAAGTACTTAACCCAAGGTACCACTGTAACAAACCTTCAAAGCTTGTTTGTGGGATGGGGTGGGTGTGTTGTTCTCAGTGGGATATTGTGTGTACCGGACTCTCTCTCACTAAGAGACTGTCCCACGGGTAGTTCTGTTCAGCTGTTCAGTACTCACGGGTACCAAATATGTGATGGAGAATGTGCCTGGCTAGTCTTGCCCCCAGGAGCTGCTGCGTGCATCCCTAATTGATGCGTAACTGGCATCAGTGTGAAGGGGGTTCATGTATGGAGCAGCTTCAAGGTACAGGGATAGCTGGGCCTGTTCTTCACAGCCCTTCTTGAGCTGACAGCAAACAAAAATACACCTCTCCTGTGATATCAACGCTTCTCCGAATTTTGGGGTGAAAATCTTCCTACTCTACAGTGCAAATATACAAAAATGCATATTGCTACGCATCATCCCAATCTCTGAGTGGTGTGGGATTCCAGGGATTTCAGGCACTTAACCAGTGGTTATGTTTCCTTTTGGAAATGAGGCACGGCAGAGACTGTGGTGTCTTTACTGTAAATGGTTTATTTACACATACATACAACCTGAGCCTACAATGGAGGGGTTCACGGCATTAACACTCCAATAGGGTTATGCTACTGGCATAGGCACAGCCTTGGATCAAAACAGACATCAACCATTGTCCTCTGACCCTTTCTTTCCAGCTTGCCACCTTTAAGGTAAAGGTAAAGGTACCCCTGCCCGTACGGGCCAGTCTTGACAGACTCTAGGGTTGTGCGCCCATCTCACTCAAGAGGCCCGGGGGCCAGCGCTGTCCGGAGACACTTCCGGGTCACGTGGCCAGCGTGACATCGCTGCTCTGGCGAGCCAGAGCCGCACACGGAAACGCCATTTACCTTCCCGCTAGTAAGCGGTCCCTATTTATCTACTTGCACCCGGAGGTGCTTTCGAACTGCTAGGTTGGCAGGCGCTGGGACCGAGCAACGGGAGCGCACCCCGCCGCGGGGATTCGAACCGCCGACCTTTCGATCGGCAAGCCCTAGGCACTGAGGCTTTTACCCACAGCACCACCCGCGTCCCTTTACCACCCTGCAAACTTTTTCCTCAAGGTCACATCACCACCAGCTCTCAAACTTTACTTCAAATTCTGCCTTTGGCTTCTAACTAACTCTCAGTTGAGGGAGGTGCCTCTCCCATTTGCTATCTGGCAGAGTCCCCTCTCTTTGGCTTTCCTAATGGCTCACCATCTTCCTTTTGCTCTTCTAACGGCCTCATCAATTTCCTCATTAGGAAACTGGCCTGGCTTATATTCTAACATTTGCTGAATCCAGGATTTCAGTGTCTGGCACCCAGAAACTCATAACCCAGGTGAATCTGGCACCCACATGTTGGGAGGAAATGTGTCAAAATGCATACATCAAAGAAAATAACATACAAAATTGCATTAGAGGAAATTGCTTTCAAAAACATGTATATTAGGCAAGTCACATAATTTCCCTTTATCCCCTTTATTGGGAAAGATTTGCACTAAAATGCTGACAAATTTTAATGATGTTTTTTTTTAATGCAAATTGCTGCAGAAACATGGTACTGTGAATTTAAGAACAGTACACTTGAGAATGGAAAAAGGATAGTTTTGCCCATCCGTGTTCTGTGCCAAACAACTGCACAGGGCTTATCTATCCTGATTTTTCTTAGCAGTTTTGGAATCTTGCCTCAGAGATGCAGCTCCTACAAGAAAAAGGGCCCTAGATACACCTCAGGACTAAATTTTGTTTGGTTCACATTTTAATGCAAGCCCACCTAACTTGCACCCTGAAAGTCACAAAGCAGAAGAAGTGCAGCCATCTTTTGAAATTCAAACTTCTTTAAGATTTTGCCATGCAGTTCTCCAACCCAAAAGAAATATGTATCAAAATGCATATATATTATATAATATACTATATATATATATATATACTATATCATATTTGCTTCGAAGATTTTCACGGTACAGGAATGCAGGTTTGGAGTGTTCTCGTGGTCTCCCGTGTAAAAGTGGGTATCTAGGCCGTTTCGACGAGGTCTACTCTGCATCTTCAGGCTGTGCTTTTCGGTTCCAGTAACAAGAACCGAAAGCACCAGCCTGAAGATGACCGATGCACCTCGGCGAAACGTCGCCTAGACACCCAACTTGTACACCGGAAGACACCCGAGAAGCACCAACCCATCATATATATATATATATAATGATGATTTAAATCAACGGATTCATTCATCCCTAATACAAAGGTGCTATTGTGTGCCACAGATTTCGTGACTGCATCACACAAGAGGATACATTACAATATTGGGAGCATGTCAGTGACTTCTTGAAAAACACAGGGCTTAACTGTACTACAAGCCTAATCTGGTTTAACAGTCATTCCATTGCTACAGGGAATAATAGCAACTGTAGAACAGTGAGCCAGGAGGCTTGGAATCTTTAGCAGACATGGTGTCACTTACTAAATTCCCAGGATTCTTTTGGGGAAGCCATGACAGTCAAACGTAAAGGAAAGCACTTTCCCCCCTAGATATTGTTTCCAGGACTTACATCTGAAGAGATAAGCGCGAGATTGCAGCTGATGAGTTAAGTTTCCAATTGTCTACAGCTGTGTTGTGTCTCTCCCATAGCTTCTGCTAGCAGAATAAATAAATGAAACTATGATGAAGGAACCAGTTCCTTGTGAAGTTGGACAGGCAGACCAAGCTTCATTCAGGTGGAGTTTGGGTTGACGGTAAGGAGCAGCACATTCATCGCACTAAATATTCATATTGCTTTTTAATTGTATTTTTATTGCTTCTTTTACTTATTGCACTGTGTTTCACTGTTACCATCTGAGTTTGATGGATTCTATGGAATTCAAATTGTCATTCAATAAATACAACACATAAGAATTAAAAAAGAAGCAACAAAATACATTTAAAAATCACACAGCAGCCAGCAAAGCACATTATAATTATTTCAACAGGCGGCCGGGGGGGGGGGCATTAAGTAGTGTACTAAGATCCTCAGCAATTTTCAGGTGACTCATGGGGGGAAAGTTTGGGAAACTATTGTCCTAATACATAGAATTCTGTATGCAATTTTTCTGTATGCATGTTACTGCAAGCCATTTCCCATGACAGAATGCATTTTTATATGTTATTTTCATGAATATATGCATTTTCAGGCACACGTTTCCCTAATTTACACATTTTGGTACCCAGGTTTTTGGTTCCTGCAAAACTCAGAGAAGTACAGATTTCAAAGGGTAGCACCTGTTTTGGCTCACTATTGATTTGGAAGTGAGAATTAGGAAGAATCACCTTTAAATGAAAACTGAACTGAATTTCTCAACCTTACTGACAGATGGAGAGCAGAGCTCTAGTCAAAAGGTGGGAACGGCTGTGGGTTGCCAATGCACAGATCTAGTGGCATGGAGATGGGGTGCTTAGCACTTGTCATTCACAGGAACCTGGGCAAGAGAGGTGTGCTTTGGGAAGAATGTCACATTGAGTTCCTGTCAGAGGGGATTAATAAAGGAGAAAACATTCTCCTGAGTCTTCAGCCAATGTTCAAGATTCACATGTTGGGCTTTCTTTGCAAGGGGAGAATAGTGTTTGGAAAGAGCTGATAATTCTCAAAGGAACAGAAATATTTTCCCGTTGCTTCTGCCAGGGATTACAGCCAGCTACAAAGTATGTTCTCTGTATTGGCAAACAGGTATGTTTGCTTGGCTACAGATTTCCCAAATGAATGCAGTTTGTCCATACTAAGAGGGTAAGCAGACCTCCATTCTCTGCATGCTCCATTCTGCCACTGGATCTGACAACTTTTGAAAATCCAAAAAGAGGGAGATTTAGGTTTGCTTCATGGCCATTTATTCTCATCCTCTCAATCTATGAGGAAAGGGAGGCCAAACAACCCTTCTGTGCCTGAACATATTTACTGTACCGGTACGTATCTTATTCCCATTCTTTTAAGGCTGAACAGTGGATGTATGTCTTCTCCGTCCTTTGCACATTATATGCTGGGGTGTTTCCCCCCCCTCGCCTGGTTTGTACGCTGAGCATTTGATCAGAGAATTTTAACTTAATTAATTTGCTCTCTCCTCCAAAAAGGAGGCTACTGCCTTGTAAAAAGTTCAACTCTGATCTATCAGCTTGGCTTCAGCAAGGCTTATTAAGAGCAGAGCTTGGCAGATCAAAGCACTTGCCAACAAACCTGAGCTGGACTGCAAAGCATACTTCACATTGCATGGCGCTTTGCAGCATAGCTGGGGTCCTTTGTAAAGCTCTTTCCTAATTTCCCCGCAAAGTGTTAGTTAGCTTGCAAGACCTGAGCTGTAGAGCAGTTTGCTTTGATCTACCAGAGGC